ATAAATGAGTTATCAATGAATTGAAAGACAGTTATACCAAATGATTGGGAATATCACGCGTTTGATTACCCATTAGTTGTGACATTAGATCTCTAATGATAGGATTGCATACAATCTCAACATTTGCTCATCAATTGCTAACTGAACTGAATATCAATCGAGTCAATCATATGTTAGAAAGTTGTGCATAAAAGTGATAATGACTTTGCTTTTGGATTTCATCTATAAATAGTTCAGTCCTTAAAATAAACCTAAACTCCCCTCGACTTAGGATTGACTTTTACTTTGAAGACATGGAATATAGACTATGCATAGAATTGTCAAAACATTATTATACTTACTGTATGTATGTTTGGTTTCTGTGTAAACTTATTTTACCATTTGTTAGTACACTTACAAGTCATGAATACGATTTCAGAAAGCAATTTACGAAACTTTTAATGGAAAATATTATAATTTTTTATATTAAAAAATCCAGACTTATAAACTTGTTTGTTTAAACATTGATAACAAAACATATGAGATAATTTTTGTTGTAATTATGAATAATTTTATTCAGTATGTCCTGTGAGATAAGCAACAAAAATATGAGCTGGTCATAATTCCCATGTATTCAATTCAATTATCATAAAAGTTGAAATTAAAATTCTTTTTTATCTATTTTAATAAACTCAAAGATTTATTTTTAAAAATATTTACATTTTAATATTTCAAATATGAGACATAAATAATACAAATTCGTTCATTAGTTTATATAATTTAATAACGGTTTGCTTTAAATCGTTTAAAATTATCGTTTTTGGTGTCTTGTGTCACATGAAATCCATGCATCAAATCCTGGATTCTAGTGATCGTCGACTGAATTCTGAATTTAAATAGATTTACATAATTTGAATAAAACTTTGACAAAAACTTCAAAAAAATTGTGATAAAAATAACTTACTTTTCACAATCGAAACCAAAGTCTTGCATGAATTCAAGCTTTCTTTGAGTCATTGATATCTTGAGAGCTAGTGATTGAGTGCTTGCAATCAAATTGTCGAACAAGTGCTCAATTTTGGTTGAATTTATATCACGCTTTTGGTACTCGATATCAATTAATCGCAAATAAATGATATAATTGTTTGGATCCGTTTTGAGAGCACTGTTAAGCACATCGACAGCCGATTCCGTGTCTTTGAGTACTTTGAATAGAAAACGACTGAATCTGATGGACAAATGGGCACAAAGTTTAGGATACTCTTTGAATTTGTCAATTGATGTCTGGAATAAGTCTTTCACTTGATTCACGTCTCCTCTTCTGTGGTATAAATGAATTTTAGACAAAATTGATTCAATCAGATATGGATTGTCCAGTTGAAATTTATCTAAAATCTTGAGCGCTTCGTCGAAATTACCTAATCATATGAAATGAATTTGAAATAATTAACTACACATTAAGTACACAATTAACTATAATGTAAATTATAAATTATCAAACCTTCGCGTTCTTCAAAAAGTGCCCAAAGGTTATGGATTTTAAATGACTTTTTCATATGTATTTGAGTGGCCCTTCGGAACACACTTCTGATGGCATTGATATCAAAATTTTCAAAGAATTCTTTGCCGGTTCTCATCATTTCATATCTTTTGTCAATCAAGTAGTTTGAGTACTAAAGACAATAATATAATCTCAAAATAGTGTTTATTAGTTTAATTATTTCAGTGACTGACCCGAACCCACATGAACTCATAAAGAGCACAAGAAACCATACATCTCTCAAACAACAGAATAACATTACAGTCATTATTACGGCTGATCTCCCAATTCAGATATTTGGTCCAATTATCCAATTGTGTTATATCTAAAGGGTTGACGTGAAAGTATGGTCTTTTAATATTGTCCTCAAAATATCTTCTCTCCTCCATCTCCTTCAGTGTTGACTTAAAAATGAGTTTTCTTTCATTGATTATCATTTGCCGAATAAATACTATTTTGGTATCGCTTTCCTGATTCACACAAATTTATTATTAAAATGTTTTAAACATATTATACAAATATTGATTAGAAATGTGTGCTAACCTCTAAATTCTTTCCATTCAAATGAGAGCTATTTTCTTGTGTTTTCTTGAATTCATTGGTCTCAGAATTTATGTTATTGTTATTAATGAGATCCATATACTTGCTATTATAGCGATTGTATTCCTTTGTAGTGAGGATACAAATGGGATTATTTTGGTTCACAAATGACATAAAGTCATCAAAGTGTTGGCACAAACTGTTCACAGGTATCTCAAGGAGTCTATCATAAAGGAATGTCACTTCAGACAAGTCCTGTCGTGTTCTCAACCAATTCACATAAAGTGACCACAAGTCGCCAGAGTTATAGTTATTGCCACACAATTTGATAGCTCTTTCAAACAACACTATAATTTCGTTGTCTTTTTTATTCAAGTGAATTAATTGTTGAATGAAATAAATCCAGATATCAATACTAATTGGGAATGAAGTGACAGCTCTCTCGAGTACATCGAAGGCATTGCTCTCATTAGACATTTGTAACTCAAATTCAACAAACTTTTTCCAATAGACATAACAGTAAGGATAATGAGAGAGAAAGGCATTGTATACCTCTCTAATTGATTCAATACTATTCTGTAACACATAACAGAAATAATTTAGTAATTCCTCATTCAGTGAGAATGAATGGGTTTACCATATGTTTGCAGGACTGCAATAGTAGAGTCCAACTCACAAAATCTGTCGGATTAGTGTTGACTATTTGCCACAAACGATCCCATTCTTTGCGATTATCATTAGATCCAGTAATCACTTAAAGTACACATAATATTAATAAACTAAAAAGCTAATTGTCTTTTTGTACCTGTTTTTATTGATGACATCTTAATGGTAAACAAAATTTAAACTAACACTTTTAGCTCAATTCTATATAACTTTAATTAAAGAAAGTTACGGAAAATACAAAACATAAATAAACTTAATATATATCATATGTAGGTATGTGTTTCACACCTGTTTCGCAGTTCAATCAATTGAACACCTTTTAAAACAGTTATAAAGAATGATAAATATTTAAATACAACTTATGATTCTGTGAATGAAATTTTTATTATTAATATTCACTTTTGGTAATAGTTTTTTACACGAAAACTCGCAATGAATGAGAATAAACAAAATATTTATCGTTTTTGTCGTAACTTAATGTCTATTTTCTAAACTAATCACTCGTTTGTATAAGTTGTGTAATTATATACTGCACTGTAATATATTTGTACAGATGTTTAAGTTCTCAAAACTTGGTTTAACTCTCAATTAATATAATGAAAATTGTAGATTCATGTAGAATATGATATGAATATTTCAAATTAATTGTATTCATATATTAGGTATTGTTATTTTTTTATATATCTCGAGGTTAGTAATTAATGTGTCATTTAAACAAATGGCAAACAATTTAATTGTTGATAAACTTTTAATTGGATATAAAGTTTATTAGCATTGAATAAAAAGTATATAGTTTATAGTTAGACAGTAGTAATAATACATTACTTTAGTAGCACTTCATGTGATAGAGTTTAAGTGAAGAAAAAAGTTGAAAATATTTATTGTGAACAATGTTTTCTTAGAATATTTTTGAAAATTGTTTTGAACAGAGTTTTGAATGGATTATCGGATCATTTTATTTAAGCTTAACATACAATTTCGTAACTTAATGTCTATTTTCTAAACTAATCACTCGTTTGTATAAGTTGTGTAATTATATACTGCACTGTAATATATTTGTACAGATGTTTAAGTTCTCAAAACTTGGTTTAACTCTCAATTAATACAATGAAAATTGTAGATTCATCAATGTAGAATATGATATGAATATTTCAAATTAATTGTATTCATATATTAGGTATTGTTATTTTTTATATATCTCGAGGTTAATAATTAATGTGTCATTTAAACAAATGGCAAACAATTTAATTGTTGATAAACTTTTAATTGGATATAAAGTTTATTAGCATTGAATGAAAAGTATATAGTTTATAGTTAGACAGTAGTAATAATACATTACTTTAGTAGCACTTCATGTGATAGAGTTTAAGTGAAGAAAAAAGTTGAAAATATTTATTGTGAACAATGTTTTCTTAGAATATTTTTGAAAATTGTTTTGAACAGAGTTTTGAATGGATTATCGGATCATTTTATTTAAGCTTAACATACAATAGAGTGAAAAATATTGTGTTTTTCACAAGAATTGAGACAAAAATGTGAATAAAGTTCTAAATAAATATGTGTTGACTCTCTCTCTCCTCTCTCTCTCTCTCTCTCTCTCTCTCTCTCTCTTTCTCTGCGATACTTCTGCAGAAAGTATCTTTTGAGTTAAATAACCGGTAATCAACCCTTAGTTTTGTAAAAACCTTTATTAAATATTTATGAAATTGTTAACTAACTAGCCATTTTTACAAAAACACTATTCTTTGCTGTGAATATAAGTGTTTGAAATCGAATTAAACGAATTGATGTCCAAAATGACTACAAATACAATACATTTCATAACAACAATTTGGTGCCAAAAGCTCAGTCTCTCTGCGCAAACAGTAGTCATAGAAACAGATTATAGTAGAAGAGAGACGAAGAGAATGAATGCCACAAAAGCCAGAGAGGGATGAGGAGAGGGAGAGGATGACTACACACCACACACTCGCCAATGCTATAGAGGGAGAGGGAGGGAGAGAGTTGTCGGTGGGGGGAGAGAGCGAGTGAGAGAGCCATTCATGATGTAATGAGAGAGTGAATGAGTTGATAGGAGAGAGTTATTAGAGATTTGTTGGAGTCGTGAGAATACGTGAGAAAGAAGATCGATATCTAGTATAGAGTATAGCGTTATATAGAATTACGCTCTCATTGTAAGAGTGAATGGATTCGTTGAAAAAATAATAAAATGTCGTTATGTTTAGTCTATATATTACTAAATCGTTTCCATTGACTATTCCTTTAGTCATAATTTTTATAGGAATTAACAATTTTATGTATAGAGATGTCGTCCATATGTTTCATCTGCGAACTACCGATTCTTTCGCACCAGACGTGGGATACATGGACTCAACCCCAAGCCCTCGGATGTCAACAAGATTTAGCCAATATATACCACGAAGACTGTCTTAATTGCTGTGTTTGTGTCGCCAGAATCAAACAGGTATTCAATACATGGGTTCACTTTAATTTCCTTTCATTTCATTAACAAATCATTCATTTATTTTAAGCTTAAAACATAGACATTCAAACTGTTTGAATAATTATTTATAACTTATAGTACACACACATACAGTATTGTAGCGCTAGGAATGTTATCAATGAATTGTAGTTTTTATGAATTAAAATATTTTAAATGTATTTTTTTTCGTATAATTAATAACATTATTTGAATCGTGAATACCAGGGCAATGGATCGGCCAAAAGGCACGGCAACAAAGTCTACTGTGTTTTACATTACGGAGACATATGTGGTCTGACGGGCGGCGAAGACTTTATGGGAAAACTGAAAGATTTTAAGCGTCAAAGTCTGGGATGTGCTGAAGCCCGCAGGAAAAGCAGCACAACCTTATCTTTTCCCGTTCCCGTCCAGGCCTGTCCGGGTCAGTCTACAGCACATCTATTCATTAAATTTCAATTATTTTAATTATTTTCTCGTTTCTGATGAGTAGGTTCTCCTTATTGTTCTGGATTTCCACACGACGTGAAGCCAACTGCCGGCTATTGGATTGAGTGTAAGGGCGGAACAGATTTCGCGAATCGAGACAATGAAACGGAACATGAAATTGATTTAAAGACGAGGAAAGAAAGCATAACTCTTATGACAGGAGACCTGAGTTCATACAAACCACAGCCGCCGACCCCTACCGTAGAAGTGGTGTTAACTCGTCCGCGATTTGAAAGACAAGACTCGACGAAATCAACGAACGACGACTACTTCAGCCAAGACTCGTATAACTTCTTGCAGGTCGAGAGCCAAAGGCCTAAAACCAAAGACGACATTGAATTATACCGAAAGCCATTCGTACCTCCCGTGACGCCTAACATAACAATCACTATAGTCCAGCCCACATCACCGCCTGCCAGCCCTCCGGCGCCATCACCGCCTCCGCCATCGTCTCAGTCTAACTCAAACCAACCGCAGACCAAAGAGAGCGACGATCCGTACGAATTGATATCGTTTGAAGAGGAGATCTTTGAGAAGCACTACTACGGACGCGAGCACTGGAACTACTTCACCAACGATGAGGCGTTGGGACCCGTCATCCTTAGCCTTAAACAAGAGATGCTCGGCAATCGCGACCAGTTTAGGATACTATTGCGGACCATATCCTACTCAATGCACGGATTAGTTCCCGCGTCCGCCATATTCGCCGACCGTTACGATAGGGAGGCAGTGGTCAGAGCGCTGGGCAATGAGGCCGGCCTTAAGCCTCCCCTAGCGTTGGGTCAGTTGCCCTCCACTTCCGACGAATTACTTAAATTAGATCAAGTCTTCATTAAATCCGAATTAAAAGTTGGAGTCATTTATATCAAAGCAAATCAAGTGAACAGTGAAGAGATGATTCTGAGTAACAAAACGGAGTCACATCTCTTCGCTGAATTCCTGGGAATACTCGGCGACAGAATCAGGTTAAAGGGTTTCGACAAATACAAGGGAGGACTGGATACGGGTATGGATTACTATTCAATCACGCTGTCTTATTGTTTTAATTAATACTGTAGTTGTATTATATTGATCATGTAATCCATGTTAATGTGAATGCAGTGCACGACCTGACGGGAACCGAATCCGTTTACACGGCCTTCAAGAACATTGAGATCATGTTTCACGTGTCAACTATGCTTCCACACGAAGAGTCTGATCCACAGAAACTTCAAAAGAAGAGACATATCGGCAATGATATCGTTTGCGTCGCGTTTCTCGAGGCAGAGGAGGCGCCCTTTTGGCCCGGTATGTAGTCATTCATTAAGACATAAAATAATCATGACTAAATATTTCTCAATAAAAACTTATATCATGTTTGTATCTCAAAGGATGCATAAAATCCCATTTTTTACACACATTTATTGTGGTCCGTACGAGTCCTAAGCCTATAGAAGCGGGAGAGACGCGGAAGTACTCGGTGTCTGTCGTCTGCAGAGACGAAGTGTCAGCGTTTAAGCCCTATCTGTGGCACGAATCAGAGTTTGAAAAAGTAAACTAAAATTAGTTTCTCTTTGATTCATAAATTCTAGTGAATAACTACTGCTTTTCATTCATTTATATCACTGAAAATTTATTAATAAACTGTTTGTTCTCTCTCTTACTCCTAAAAAGGGCTCTCATTTCAGAGAGTGGTTACTGACGAAGATTATCAACGGAGAGAGAGCCAGCTATTCGGCGCCTAAGTTCGCCAGAATGCAGGTCTGTCTCAGTCTATATTCAGTGCTTGTTTTGTCTACTCCTGTGCTCTAATTACTCACTATTTTTAATCACTTTAATTACTATAAACAATAAATAAATGAATCGAAATGTGATAATGAGTTCATTGACTTGCATCCAAAAATATGACTAGAATTATATAATTCTGTAATTCAATGAACGCTAGATTAAGAGCAAAATTATGATAAACTAAGAGCACATGTAATTGAAATCTGAAAGAATAACATGAATGTCATGTCATATACAGGACCGGACACGGAGTCAGATGTTGGAAGACATTGTAAATAATTTAGCCAATCATTTAGCAACGGGTCAAATACCAAAGCCCTACCGACGCGGCAGTTGGAGACCAATAGGACATATGAGGCCATCGAGTCCTCTGTTGGACAGTGTTAGGGATCTGTTTGAAGGGTACGACCAAATAGCAAAGGACTTCAATAATGCCTTTTATGGAAACGCGAAGCTCTTGTGCGACGTTGTCTTCAATGTGATGGGATCTCCTGTGAATGGCGGACATGAGAATCAAGTCAGACGTATATACGCTGTCAGAGCCATTCTGGCCATAAGAAGTCGAGTCTTCCTGGAAATGCTGTACGGTTTCGCTCCCCCGCGGGGACAGACGGGAGCTGAGGGACAGATCGTTGCGCACACGACCTCCATATCGACCACAATTACCACGACTGGAGGCGCACAACAAACCAATAATCAAGAAAAGAAGGTTAAGAAAAGGGATAGCATTACAGAACAGGCCAAGAATGCTATCACCCAAGTGTTGATCCCCCCGAAGATCATTGCGCCGAACGCTGACAAAGACAAGGAGAAGAAGAAGGAAAAAGACATTAGGAAAGCGTCGTCAGCCTCCACAATGTCGACGGCACCTCCAGCACAAAAAACTCCTACATATCTTACAGTTCCCGGAGCCAGCGGTGGCGGTGTGTTCAAGACATTCAAGACGTTTATGTCCGGCTCGTGGAGTGGTTGGGGCAGTAAGGGTAGGAACGACAGTATGAAGCGATGGCAGAGCGAGTCATTTTACGCCAAACTCGAGAGCACGGGCGTGGAAGTGCCCGGCCTTTCAGTCTGTGCGGATGTGGCGAAGATTGACAGAACAAAACTCGCACAAAATGAGGTATATTTCCAATGAGACATACAATTGATTGAATAATAAATACATTTCCTTCACACATACTGTAGTTCACAATAATCGAGTTCGACGGGGACACCTTTCAACTGTTGATTGAATACCTGCACTCCGGGTCGTGTCCCATCACATGTGATACCGTTCCCGGACTGATATGTGCGGCCGAGCACTTTGATTTGCCGGACCTCTTGCAGGCGTGCTTTCATCACACGAAGACACACCTGAAGTTGAATGTAGTGCCGCGTATGTTAAACCAATTGGAGAACTACTACTGGCGATACACCAGTGCGAGCCAACTGGTCAACACAATACTGAATTACGTGGATCCCAGAGCCAACGCACTGTTCGCTCGTCAGGAATACTTACAATTAAGTGAATCCATGTTACAGACGATACTCACGCGACAGAACGTCAACTTAAGTGAAACCAAGAAATTTCAGGTTATGTTTCAGTGGTCTGTACACAAAGTCAAGACCGACAGACTCGCAGACCGGCCCCAGAACGACAAACTCCAGACAACCCGTGTTAATGAACTGCAGGCTATTATGAACCGAATGACTCGCGATCTCAAACTGCATAAAATACCGCCACAGGATCTCATTAAGGTATGGGTGCTCTCGAGCAGTATCATTATTCAATTCATTCAACATTTACTTTCTGTATTAACATACAAACAAATAATTCATAAACACTTTATTTAAAATAATTATAATACAAACTAAATATTTGTCAAATCTTTTGGTCCAACAGATAGTACTGCCATCGAAGACAATCAGTCACGAGAGGATATTAGCGACACTTCTATATCAGGCGGACTCCGGGATATATCGCAACTCAGAATTCGGCAATTGATGTCTTTGTTGTCCATATTGTTGTCACAAATTGATTGATAGAGAGTTTTCATACCGTCAAATGAAACAAATACCAGTTATGAGTCGCAAACGATTACAATATAAATATATAAATATACAGTATATAAAAACAAATATAAATATTATTATTGTTATAAAACATCTATTTTTTGCTTTAAATGAATGTTTGAATATTTTGTTAATTATTTGTAATATTGAGCCCATTTGTAGTCAATGACAATAAAACCTTTTCCAGTCATTGATTGTTCTCAACGGCACTAATAATTGCTTTGGGAAAGTCGTATCAATGGCTTGAAATCACTTCTTACAAACCATTTTCTATAACTTTCCATTCATTGCATCAATCGTTTCATTCATTCACAACAAACTACTAATCATTACTCAATTCTTACCAAATATTTTATGGCAAAAAGCGTCCGTAATCTGAGTAAAGACTAGATTTCCTGATGGATGTCTCCCAATAGCGCTGAGACGACAATAGCCACGACTTTTCCGATGTGTGCGAAGAGTTGCGACCGGTTTCCGATCGGTTCCTCTTTGCCGGCGCTTTCATCACAGCATTCAACAACTCCTTCTGATCGCCACAAATGACAGTCACGTAAACACTTCGTCCCAACAACGAGTCGATCGTATTAATGATCTTCTTATCCAATTTGGTCTTGACATTAGTAAAGTAGACAATAATGTCTGCCTTTTGAGCGGTCTCTCCGACCATCATCACAGCGGTGGCCATCAGTTTAATGAGATGTATATCCAGAACCCAATCCATTACTATAATAATGTAATCACAGGTCGCGAACAGAAACGACAGGAGTTGTAATGATATCATAAACGAGTAGTTCTCGGGTTCCGAGATATCAACGCCAGTGGATGAGAGTGGCGGACACTTCTGCAGATATTCGTCGAGAACCGATGCACTCAACAAAGGCTTAAGAGGTCATAGAAATGAATTCAAGGTTTTCTAAACTCGTCGAAAGAGTGGTTACCTGAGAGTCGAGGAGTAGTAGCCTTTCTTTGGTGACATGAAGTTTGATTCCCTTTGTCTTATGTCTTAGCGGTCTTTCGCTGTATTTATTGGTGTGAACTCTGAACACATCTTTACCAGCGATTAGGTTCAGTACTGAAGACTTGCCGACGCCTTCCAAACCGACAGCAGATATCACCGAAAAGCCAGACGAAGACGTGGTGTCACTGAAGAGCCAATCATTGGCCGGACTCTCCAAAAACATAAGGTTTTCGCTGTCTATCAAAGTCATGACTGAAGGCATGGCTGCCATCATATCATTGACCGCATCGTCGGTCGCCGACTGAGTACTGAAGGCTCCGACCGATTGCGCCGATTTGGGGGCCAAAGACAGGTGCGAGACATTGGATGCGTTGGCATTGGATGTGTTGGAAGTGCTGACACTTTGCTGTTGCGATGAATGCAAAGACGGGATAATCTGAATGGTCTGAACGGGTGTTGGCGTCGACGCGGCGCTCAGTTGTGATGCGTTGGACGGAGTGGTGGTCTTCTGGTTGGGGTTTTTGGCCAAAATGACAACTCGTGAGTGGAGTGGCGGTGATTGGGATGAAGTGGTGGACCGTCGGGCGCCGTCGTTGGACTCACTCCTGTCGTCGCGATTCCGTCGTCTCTGTTGTCTTCGCGGCTCTATTGATATCTTCGCTTCCATTCGGTTAGGCATTGGATCCGTTAGTCTTAAGACTCAGTCAACGCTTAAACCATTTTGTGATGAATTAGTGAATGAATTGTGAAATCATTTCAAATGCAAACCAAACGATAAAATCAAACATTTTTTTCTCACAAACAATGAGTCATATGTTGTAATATCGCTTGTACATCGTATCTTGATCACTTTTTGAGGTGTGCACGGGCTAGTGTAGGCGAGAGATTAAGCCTACACTAGCCCGTGCACACCTCAAAAAGTGATCAAGATACGATGTACAAGCGATAATAATACACGTGTTTGTATTCGTACATTTGGTACTTTTATATATATTGTATATACAATTTATTATAGCTTTATACTGTACAATAGACTCCATAGTGTAGCTCCATATCTAAAGGTACGTTAAATGCGATTATTATTTAGGGTTTAAGTGAAACCCAAAAGTGATTTGTTGTCAAAAAGTGTTCATTTGTTTCGTAAATAACTTGTAATTAATTTAAATCCAATTTAATGTCAAATACACTGAAAGTGATTATCATCTTTGATATCTTCGCTTCCATTCGGTTAGGCATTGGATCCGTTAGTCTTAAGACTCAGTCAACGCTTAAACCATTTTGTGATGAATTAGTGAATGAATTGTGAAATCATTTCAAATGCAAACCAAACGACAAAATCAAACATTTTTTTCTCACAAACAATGAGTCATATGTTGTAATAATAATACACGTGTTTGTATTCGTACATTTGGTACTTTTATATATATTGTATATACAATTTATTATAGCTTTATACTGTACAATAGACTTTATAGTGTAGCTCCATATCTAAAGGTACGTTAAATGCGAATATTATTTAGGGTTTAAGTGAAACCCAAAAGTGATTTGTTGTCAAAAAGTGTTCATTTGTTTCGTAAATAACTTGTAATTAATTTAAATCCAATTTAATGTCAAATACACTGAAAGTGATTATCATCTGAAGACCACCACAAGAGCACAAGACGAAGATGTCGTACGGAATCAATGACTTCGAGCAGACACAGCACGGGAGCGGCTATTCCTCGGGAAGTGTTGGCTACGAATTCGGTCAATTCGATTACACTGACCAGGAGTACAACACGGCATCCCTGGCCACCCCTCAACCGCCGCCGCCCTCTATGTTCACGCCATCGGCGGTCGACAACTTCGACGACCCCTTCACGGGAATGCCGGGCCAGCGCTCGACCGACCCGTACGCCGACGAACCGCCACTTCTCGAGGAGTTGGGAATCAATTTCGACCAAATCGTGCAGAAGACATATGCGGTCCTCAATCCCCTGCGACGGCCCGACCCCTCCATTCTGCACGACTCAGACCTGGCCGGCCCTCTCGTCTTCTGTCTGGCCTTCGGTTCGTTTCTACTGGTGTCGGGAAAAGTGCACTTCGGCTACATCTATGGGTTCGGTCTCATGGGCTGCCTCGCCATCTACTCACTCCTCAATCTGATGGCCACTCCAGACATCGCCATATCGATCGCCTGCACGGTCTCTGTGTTGGGCTATTGTCTGCTTCCGATGGTTGTGCTGTCGGGTCTATCCATACTAATCAGTCTGAAGGCGTTGGTGGGAACGATATCCGTGTTTCTGGCGATCACGTGGTGTGCGGTCAGTGCGTCCAAACTGTTTGCGATCGCACTCACACTCCACAACCAACAGGCGCTCATCGCCTATCCCTGTGCTCTCCTTTACGGCGTTTTCGCGCTTTTGACAGTTTTCTAGATTTTATTTTTCTAAATATATTTTTATTGTTTACTATTATCGGAGATCTGCGAGCATTTGAGTGTTAGGTTGTTGAGCGCCGGCACTGGTATCCAGTCCTCTATTGCTTAGCTTTTCAAGTGAAAGCTTTTTCAAGTGTTGTTCTCTCAGAGCAATCCATATGTGATGAATGAGCCAACGCTGGCACTCAATGCTCACATATTTCTGTTAATTTATTTGTAATAAACTTTATGTCGAAGTAATAATAAATATCAGCAAATATTTCACTCAACGGAAAGTGTTTTTTATTTTTTGTGATAAATTCTTAGAGTTTAATAGTTTAAGAATATTGTAAATCCCTATTTTAGCACACATTTGATATATTACTCAGAATTTATATATTAAGTAACCGATCATTGAATTAATTGGCGATCAATTAAATGACAAACACTGACCTCTGGTCCCTAAATGTTAGAATCGATGTAAATCACAAGTAAAACAGTTTTTAACTTTTCATAATTTATTTGAATTAATGAATACATAAATCTGTAAAAGTTGTGAACACCTTCTGGTAATTCATAATAACGTAATAAATTATGTAATGGTTTCACATTTGCTGGAAGTTTAGCATAAATATCATAACGAATTGGTGTTATATGTGAAAGGATGCGGATCTGATTAAAAGATTTTATTGTTTTATTAGTGTTTGCTTTACATGATATACCGGTAATCGCAAACACAAATGGGTTTAACTAGAGTTGGCACTCAAATGTGTGGGTTTTGGGATTTAGGATGGGTTTTGAGACAAGCGATTCTCAATACCGTATAACTATTCTACACATTATACTAAACATTATTTATTTGACTAAATATTTCGTTTTTATTTGACATAAAAATAAGAGAAATATATTTCTTATTTTAAACACCGAAAGACACCCTTAATATAAAATACAAATGATTTAAAAACAAATTTTCCATCTAAAAGTTTATTAAACGCTTAAATATTCGCTTAAATTTTGTGATAAATGAAAACTTATTCATATATTCATTGATCGCAAACTATCGAGACTTCTATTGATATGGAAATTGTTTGACAAAAAAACTTTTAGAGAAAATCAAAGGAAATGAATTTATAAATAATACATTTTAAATCAATTAATATTCAAAGGAAACTCAATTCAAAGTCATTATTCAAACAAAAAATTCATTTATCAATGAATGAATATTTTGAAACACAATTCTTTGTCATCAATTGCAGCAAATATTGGATTTTGAGCCAATTTTTGTCTGAAATATAGCTTTAAAATCTATAATTCAGTACAAGTTATATATATATTTTAATGAACAATAAGTGAATGAATTTCTTATTGAAATTCATTGAAGCGTTTGGTTTTTCAGATCGTTTTTAAAGTTTTGGAGTAAATGTTTTCAATCGAATAGACATTTATTTTGAGTGCAAAATCGCCAATCGATAACATAATATGCCGTACGATATATACTTACTCTAAACCCTTATATACGATAATAAAAGTTTATTTCTATATTCAATATATCGTTGTATTAAACGGAAGAAGTGGAGGAAAATGTACTCTCTTTTTGTCAAAATCCGACTTAAGCTTTGATTTTCAAACTTTAAGCTTATTTTGAGTGTATTTTGAAGGAAACCATTGCATCTGAAGAACTTTACTGTCTTATAAAAATGGTCCAAATTATAAGAAAATTCCCTATTATTACGGTTTGAATGAGTAATACATTTGTGAAGCAAAATAATCTCAAATGTGAGCTTAAAGATTAAGTTTTATCATTATAACTATTTATTTCGATGTATTCGCTACTGATCTCTGGAGTTGTAATACTTTATCTCTGGTCTTATCTTTTCTAATCTTTATTTTTGTGTTCATTAGTCTATCATTTAATCGATCGATGAACAGCTGTACTGAAGATGTTTTGTTGGGAATAAATCTTATGAAAGGCCTTAAACTCACAAATTCTTGCCATTATTTTTCTTCACGTATAATGAATTGTCATTTTCGCTGAATGTTAACAAAAAACAATAATATTTCATTCAATGATAAATCATGTCTAACACCGGATCTATTGATTCTTGGCTACCATTGAATTAAATCACTTCTAATTGAAAGTAATTTGAACAACGTAAACCTTCAAATCACATCAAATCGATTCCATAATTTTAAGTTAATAAAAATATTTATTCCGTAAAACAATTTATTTTACTATAGTTTTGTCAGAATTTTATTGTTTGAGAACACTTTGATTGCATTCCTCTTTTGCTTTCATAAACCATTCCATAGGGTCTCTCTCTCTCTTTCTCACTCACTCACTCACTCACTCACTCTCTCTCTCTCTCTCTCTCTCTCTCTCTCTCTAAATTTCTCTTTTGATGTGCTGTTAAGTAAAATAGATTTTTCAAAGGAAAGCCTTCAGTAATTCTTTCTCTCATTTTGCTCCGAATCCATAATATATTCTCAAAACTGAGTTTATTTTTAAAACTCTAATAAAATAAAAATTTTTATTATTCGGACTTAAATTGAGCTAAAATTGTTTGAGAGACAAGTGAGAAATTTATTTTGCTTTTTTGAGTGATTCCTCGCAAAAGTGTTTTGCATTATAAACATGTATTTCACGCTATATTTACTTTCGGGTTTTCAATTTTGTTGCCATTCTATTCATATGAGACATACAATTCAATTGTAAAACCAATTCTCAATACATCAGATCTTAACGTTTGATTATATTATATGTGGGCAATTTTTTATGCTTATTTATAACTCGGATTTTTCCTTTAAACTATATTATATATAAATTTTATTTTAAAACTACCCGTCCACTGCTAACCTAATATTTGGTTATATTCTTGATTTAATAATAGAAAATATTGCCCTTTTGTTACTCTATCTCTAGAGTGAACGCAATATATCCCGTAATAAATAAAGTGAATTTACTAAAAAAGAAATTAATAACAAATTTATTTTAAAATTTGCTAAATTGCAAGAAGTTTCAAAGAAATGTAGAATATTTGCTAAACAACATTGATATTCATTTAATGTTTAAATAAATTTATATAAAATGCTTGCAAATATCAAAGACTTGAGTTTGTATTGAAAGCGAATGGGATTGAAGGTTGGGGCTAATGTAATGTAAAATACTGTACATTGTACAGTGTACAAATACAAAGAGTTTATTTAATTATGATATAATGACACGAATGTGCACTTTAGACACGTTTCACGACTTATATATTTTCTTTGACTAAACAAACATTACTTTAAATATTAAACACATTTTTGAATAGCATTTTATTAAATGATTCTCACGTATTTATAATACAAATATTAATTTTTCAACAAAACTTTTTATAAAGTTAATTATATTAAACTTATTATTTCTTAAATTATGTCTGAAATAAGTATTTCTAATTATAAACAACAACTAATATATAATTGTAAAGTTAATTAGTGTTTGAGATTTGAATGATTATAACAAAACACTTCTGACAAACATTATTCATGTGGAATAACACACATAATACTGCCTACACTTTCTCATCCCTTTCCCTAATCAACAACTTATGAATGGGGAAAGTCTTCCTTGAATTTAATGAATATTTTAGATTTGATCCAAAAATTTCTTAAATAATAAATAATTTTTCGTAAATTTCAATAAAAATTTAATAAAAAACATAACATAAAAAATAAATCATTTAATTACGCCTACAGTTGAAGCATTAAAATATTTATATTTAGCACTAAATATACAATATTTACAAACATTGGCCCAAATCTGTTTTCATTAAAATTAAAACCATTTTAAAAAAGAAATTTTAAAATTAATCAGTTTTTGGATCAAAAAATTAATTAATTTTTGTGACTGAGATATAACGGCTCGAAATGAATATCAATGTTTTCGAGACAATATTCGCATTTGTTTTATGAATTGTTAATTAAATATTAATCACAGATTTTTGATTGAATAACTGGTTTCTCATTTCAATTTATGGTTTCCTATAAAATATTTCATTATATCGTACCAAATGTTAGGAGTATTTTCGTTTAAAACTTTCTACTATATATTAAAAGAAATTAATTAAAATTTTAATTATAATTATTTCTCAATATCCGAGATTAATTACACAGACGTTTAAGATATATAAAGCAAAAGGGTTTTAAACACAAAGTTTAGGTAAAAAAGCGAGTTTATGCGGAATATAAAAGTTGAGCACAAAATAGGGTAAAGTCATTGAATTGAAAATAAATTTGAAGAGAATTTTTCAGATTCTTTGGATATATTGTTATACAGAAAGAGTGGTCTCTTTTTAATCACACCTACAGTACGGACCGAGTCTTGAATTATTCAGTAAACGTTCACTTGATTTGATGTTAAGAGAGAGACAATTGAGGAATAAATTTAAACTTATAATTGATATTTTTTGTTGTTAAAAGATACTCAAATATAATTTACATTTTATTTCAGTAGAGTATTATTCATAAATTATGGGTTAAGTGCTTATAATCCTATTAAAAATGCTTTTATTTATTCATTCATTCAAATTATATATCATTTAATGATTTGATTTCATTGTATTTCGGTGTTTATAATACAATGCGAGCGCAAAGTTTTTTAAGATATTTTGTCTGAAAAAAATAAGAAATAAATAATAAAACTGAAAATTAATTCATTTCATTTAAATATTGTATTGAAGGGCCGGCTGTTTATGCGGTGCTCCAAGAGATTAAACCCGGCAGTAAAGCTCACACCAGTTGTATTGAATGAAATTCCTCATTCAAATGAATCCATAATGCCTTATGAAGTATCCGAAAATTGCATTTACAGTTAATGAACAATTTTGAAACCTTGATGATTTTAATTTTAAATAATTATGACTGCGTATAACACCCGAGAGAAAGCGTAACTTTAATTTTGAACAAATTATAAATGTATCTTCTAATGGCGTAGATTTTTGGTATATTTTATGTCCAAAGTTTAACTTTCACATAAAATATGAATTATTGGACATTGAAATGAAATTTCCTGGCTTTCAAACGAGAGAGAGAGAGAGAGAGAGACTGGTTAATGGATTATAGGTTTGACGTAAATCACTGGTCGGTTGAGCGCAACAATTCTTGGAGAGTGTTGTCATAAAATTCAAAATAAAATCTCTAATCAATTATTTCTTAAGAGTGAAATTTTTAGGCTTAAAATCGATTTAAAACTTTGACGTAAATCACTGGTCGGTTGAGCGCAACAATTCTTGGAGAGTGTTGTCATAAAATTCAAAATAAAATCTCTAATCAATTATTTCTTAAGAGTGAAATTTTTAGGCTTAAAATCGATTTAAAACTCGGAGCACTGTATGAGTTATTATAAATTCTTAGACTCCAGTGATTATTCACTGATGAAAATGTTTGTTTTCAACAAAAGTTTGTCAATTTATTACTGTATACTGTCTACTGTACTATATAATATGCGAAAATGTTGTGAAAAAACAAATACTTAATTCAATTAGATTCTCATCTAATCAATCATTAAATATGCAAATATGCGTTAAAAATATAATAAAGTAAATTAGAAAATTTTGATTTTTACATTTAATTTATAGTATATTTTTAATATTCATACGATTCGAGATAATTGAATGAATAAAATTTGAATTGAGAATTTAAACAACAATTTTAACCTCAAAAGAGTCGGCGACTCTAACCATGTATTGAATGAAATAATTTATGGCATCTAAAGACTGGGCACAACTGACACCCGAATGTTGTGTCTAATGTTTTGCCATCAAATAGTTTACGCCTTTCTCTCCGCAAAAGACTCATCCCTTTTGCATAAAACTCACACAAATCACACATAAAGCAAAAAACAGCAATTCATTTACAAAACACAGATTCATTTTAAATAAATTTATTTTTATTATCAATTTATAATAAGACTATTTATATGAAAATTTTCTTAAATTTAATTTCATTAATAAATTATTATTTAAAACTTATATAAAGAAAATGTAATCAAATAATTGGCACTAATATTAAATTAAAAATTAAATTAAGTGTAATTTACTTAATAATGAATATTAAACGTAGCTTTGATAGCGATAATATAATGATTTAATTAAATAATTGTTTTGTAAAAATTAAAACTAATAAAAATAGTGTTTTATATTAGGAAATACAGGTACTGTTGTGTGTGATTGGAAGGGAATGGAAGGTATGGTATGGTTAAGAGGCTCGAAGGGCGCAGAGATGCTTCTCTCCCATTAGGATCTGATCCTTCACTTCACGTATGTTTACAATGAGTTTTGATTTCAATTTGATAAACTCTAGAAATTCATTGAGATTTTCGAAATTGTCTTTAAAATATTTTCTGATTATCTTCTCTTCGATCGATTGGTTTCGCTGATCAATACAGACGCGAAGCTGAAGAGCTTCTTGCAACTGATCCAATAGTTTCTGTCGTTTGCAAACTAATGACTGCATCTCATCAAACAAATTATGGGATGAAAAGGCGTTTTGTTTGCTCTGTTTGTCTCTAATCTGTTGTAAATCATTTTGAGTGAATGTCTGTGTCTGTAGTGTTGACTCGAAAGCCATTGAGTTGTCGATTGAGTTGTGTTTGCTTTCATGGCTTTCATTAGCCAAACATTTTTGACGCCTCTTTTCATGGATCTGTGTATCGATGAGTTGGAGCCGAGCGCTGATGGAGAGTAGAAGTCGAGTCACTTTCTCGATCTCTTCACAATGCAAATTCATTTTCTCAGACTCCTGTTCCGTGAGTCCTAGCGCTTTCAGTTTGGTCCTCACGTGCTGTCCTAATATCTCATTAGAGTTCACGTCTTGTGTTAATGCCATCTCTTCAATCCGAAGAACATCCAATTTTCTGTTCAGTCTTGAGATTAAATCCGATTTATTGGTCAATAACTCTTCATTAGCGAGTCCGACACCGATATCCCCAATGAAAGTATTAGCCGCTACTATAGGCGACGACGTTTGCACTGATATATAGCTACTGTCGCTCTCATAATCTGCTGTTTTCACACATTTCTCATTTGGCCATAGCTTACAGTAAGCCCAGGGAACCACTGATTCAACCGATTCCATCGATTTATTGGTTCCGCTCTGTTGTTGCTGTTGTTGTTCACCAGCAGTTGTCGTCTCATTTATTGGCACCGAAACTGAGTTCTCATACATCGGTTCACTTGTTTCCAGTGACGGCTTGTGTTCATGTATTGTCATGTCTTTAGCCGACGCACTGCTGTGTCGACGCAATGTCTCCGTTGTTTGAGTGGCAATCTCTGACTTCTGCCAAACCTCTGCGGGTCTGGCATTTGGAGCCGGAAGTGACTTGTCTTTTGGCGGAGAGGGTGAGCGTCCCATTGGTTTGCCATTGGACACAACAAATGGATCACAGATATCAATGTTATGCGAGTTTGAATGGCTTAGAGTTGTGGCACTTTTGGGGTCGCACTCGTGTGCTGTTGGCGGCGGCGGCAGTGGGAGCTCACCGTCAAACTCAATGTCCGCCACCGTTTGCTGCGGTGGCGGTGGAAGCGGAGGCGATGGCAGGGATGGCTGTGGGGACATACACTGAGCACTACTATTCTCGTAGATGTTTTCGTGGACAACCAGTTGTACTTTGCGCGAAGGGATCTGTTGTTTGGGGCAAAAATGTATTTATAGTCTCAGCTCTGATCTAAGAATTAATAAAAATTTTATTTTATTTGTCGGTTACTATATATCGACGCAAATATTCAAAATAAATAACAAAATGTATTTAAAATAAGCAAAAAGCCGAGAGATAAGTAGCACTGGGATCAGGAATTTAATGGTTGTGTGGGAGTCATAAATGGAAGTTAACTCCGATTGAGAGGAAAATTCATTTTCAAGTCTAGAAGGAATAAAAAAGACTAAAAAAGAGGTTTTCATTCTCACCTGAGGGCGAATGGGAACTGGAATTGTGTCTGAATTTTTATATTCACTTGTGTTATACCAAATCCAATAGAAAAACCAACCAAAGGTAAAGGCAATTATGAAATACGGAATCATTTCATACCAAACATCAAGTTTAAGCACAGATTGAGTTATTATTTGTGAAAAAGGCGTCAAAAGTGAGTTGAGTTGGAAAGAAGATATTATATCACTCGAGAAGTTAACAAACTTTTAAACAATAAATTCTTTTAACTTTCGACTAATTTTCAAATTGTGTTAAACAAGTGATGAAAGTCACAGTCTTAACACTAAACAAGATTTTAAGATAAGCGACGAATTAGTCGACAAAAATAGTTTCTTTTAGTGGTAATCAGTGAGAGAGCAAAGAAAATGATGAGAGAGAGAGAGAGAGAGAGAGCACAGAGATGAGAGAAGCACTACATCGACACATCCAATAGGATCTGATGGAAAGCATCTTAAATATGAGTTGAGATAGAGTTGAGAGCAAAGACTTGTATTATAAGTAGACTTGTATTGTGCTGTCGTTTGTGAAAACTTCTTATCTCTACTCAACTCTAACTCTATTCTGTATTCTGTATTCTGTATTGCGAGGAATGGTAGGAAATGGTATGGTATGGATGTAGTGATACATCTGCGCACGACTGCAAGCCATCTATCACTCATACAATTACGGTTATCCTATGGGATACTGTTCCGGACCTGTCCTCTCATCATATATTGGTTTGAATCTAATTCCGATATTTCAAAGACATGGCTATTTGATGGCACAACATATCTCTCAAATGCTTTTTATGCCATTTCTTTTCATACATCTATCCAACACATGCTAGCCCTCAGCCCTCCGTCCAAACGAGAAAAAGCACAAAAAACTAGTCAAACATTAGTGATGTCATTCGCTTTTAGTTTCATTAATGTGTTGCAAATGTCTCACAACTACTGGTTTTGATTGGGTTTGGGTTTTGTGTGGAAAGTCTTATATTTGGATGGCTGTAGAGAATCGACTCTTAAAATCAATTCGAATCACATTATTGTCTAAACTCTACACAACTCTAGTGTTCAAGAGATCACTACTAATGGGCTCTTATCAGCAAAACTACAAAAATATAATACATGTTATAAAAGCTAACTATAAGTATCGGAAATCAATGATTCACTCGTTTTCGCTGTTATTATAACTCTATTCTCTGTGTTGTGTTGAATATATGAACAGTATGTGTATGACAATAATGTCTCTAAAAGAAGACTAATATTACAGTAATTTTGACAAAAACTAATTCAATGAAAAACTCGATAATTGTGAGAAAGACCAATACATTATTGAATGAGTACTGTGTGTGACATGTAAGCGTCACTCAGACCTACAATCAATCCATTAGAACCTATAATACCTGTGGATCACATCCAAACACCAAACCATTGCCATCTTAATCATAGGTTTCACTCACAAACACAACTTTAATCAACTCATTGAACCGAAACACAGGCTTTGTTTTAGCGCTAATTTGCATCGATATGTATGATAACCAAACAAAACACTACAAATTTAATTTTCAAATCACTTCATACCTGACTGTTATCCTCAATAGTAGAAGCAGTGAGCGGTGTATTGCTGTTAACACTTGAGTTATTATTATTACTATTATTAGTATCATTGATATTATTATTATTATTATTACTACTATTTTCTTGTATTCCCTTTTGTTTTTGCTTTAAGTAAAACTGATAGACCGCACGCTTTTGAATAGCTTTGATCTCCGGGTCAGAAGCTCTGTGAGACTTTGAGGTCTCGATAGTGCGCGAAGTGGACACCATATTAGGTGCCCCTGGGATGGATGTGCGGACAGGTATGTCCTTGTCGTGAGAGTCACCCAAATGGAGTTTGGGTGGCGGCGGCGGAGGAACTTCTGATTTTGAGATGTGTTGAGACATATTAGACGGCGAACCGGACTTTTCATAGTAGAGAACACTCGCGGACTCCCTCTTCGGTTGGACTACTTTAGAGCTTTTGGCGATTTGTGATGAACTGCCTGTCGATGCGATACTGTTTCGACTGTTATTATAAGAAGCGGTCGTCGTATTGGTGGCCGTTGTGCTCAATGAAGACAAAGAGGGCGAGTGTGTGATCACCGATGAAGAGGCAGTGAAATAGTCAGAAGTGGTGACCAGTGATGTAACTCCGGAGGTAACCGACTGATCACAAGACCACGACTCTTGCATTTGCGATGACTTGTCGTTGAATTCGGTTTCGGGAAGCAATGGATAAGTTTGACTGAATTGCTTCAAATCAGAGCTGTCGTCGTATTTTGATCTGAGATTTATGAGACTTTTAGAGCACCCGATATGACTGACCCTACTCTCCGAATAGCCCTTCATATAGTATTGCGAGTTATTATTCTTATAGTAATGACAATCGTTGACCCCTTTGCCCAAAGAATCGGTCATTAGTTTGTTTTGTGACTCGTTATCTTTTGGTTCGCAAATCAATTTACGATTTGACGATAAACTCGAGTCTCGGACGGGAGGTGTTGGCGGCGGAGAGTCGTCGGTATCGTACTGTCCATACGATGCCATCACATTCCTGTCGCGAGATTTCCAGAACTGAGAAGTGTTTGATTCGGCATTCTTTGAGAAAAGGCGTTCATTATATTTTGAGACGATTGAGTTCTCGGCAAAACTGGGACCACAGGACTTGCGGTTAGACTTGAGTACGGGTGCGAAGTCTAGACCCGATTTGGACGCCAATAGGCTGTACACCGAAGATGGCGTCGGATTATTTCGATTATGAGATCTCTTTTTCACTATATTGTCATCAGAATCGCGATCCAAACCCCCGGGCACTGACTTTGCCGGCAGCACTGACTTCCCAGCGTTCATCATATGTTCAGGATATGGATGTCCAGAGCCACTCAAACTCGAACGACGACTTCCACTGACGTGCACTTGGAGTGGGAGATTAGACGTCGATTTGGCGGCCGACCACTGATCACAATGATGATGATATGCACTGTATTTCATCACAAAAGTGAAATAAAAAACAATTAATTATAAAACAATAAACAAAAACTATTAGCAAACAAACGGGTAATTAATCAAAATTTGCAAATATGTTGACATAAAAGAAGACAAACCTTTTGGCAGAGTTGGTGGCAGTTCTGGGACTCAGACCACCGTTAGAGACGGAGGAGGCGTTGGAATCGGAACGGGAGTGAAAATAATTGTTTGGTAAGGCGTTGGCGTTGTTTGCATTGATTGGCCCCCAATTGGATATGGAAGCGGAGGCCGACTCATAGCCGCTATCTTTTGTGAGTTTTCGGTTATTATGGTTAACAGTATTGTTATTATCACTCAAACTGTTAGCACTGTTTGCGTATACATTGTTAGCATTGGCTGTGGAGTTGCGGTGATTGTAGTGCCTCTGCTGAGCGTTAGTGAATGCGGTCGATATGTCTCTCATATTCTCGTAAATCCTGTCCACTTCCGTCTCAATCTCACTACCGTTGGGTGCAATCCATGACAAGCGTTGTGCTGAGGAATGCCGCAAATTCACGTCCGAGTCGTGAAAGTATTGCTGTTTGTAGTACTTCTGGATCCGGTTCTGAATGGACTCACGCGACTCGAGTTGGTTTTGTTGGTTATAAAATGCAAACTCTTTGTCAGCTTTAAACCATTCCGGCGAGTCTTGTAATACAGTCTTAGCTCCGGGAGTCGTGTTAACAGTGGCAGTGATCGCTTCACTCTCATCCCTATCCCTCTCCTCATTCCTCACACGACCTGATTTGTTAGTCTCTGACTCATAGGCACTAATGTTGGGCGCATTGGAAGCGTTGGATGAGTTGCAGGCATTTGACGCCAAACTTGATTTTAGTTGCCTTCGAGTACTGTTATTACTTGAGTCTAAATATCAGACCGATTCGTGTATTAATAATATTATGAATACAGTATTAATAGGAATCGCATCACAATTATTGTTGCAATCAATCGTTTGATTGAAGAAGAAAAGAGCGAAAACGAAGAAAATAAAAATCAATTAATTTTAGTTTTAAGTTAAACGACTAGTAATTAATTAGATAAGCAAATCAGTGACAAATATGACTCCTATTTTATTTATCACTTCAACCTTTTCTCGAGTCACAGATTCAATGCAAATGTTTTGTTTTGCAAGTGCTCTCGAAGTGTCAAAGTTTGTCTCAAATGTGTTTTTACTGTTTCAATGATATATGAAATACAAACCAAAGTTAGCGCTCGTGAAGCCGTAAATCTCGTCGTCATCACAGTTGGCACTGATAGCAGAGCCACCGCTTGTAACCACTGATGTCGGTGACGATCCCTTACGCACCGGACTTCTCATTCCTCACACGACCTGATTTGTTAGTCTCTGACTCATAGGCACTAATGTTGGGCGCATTGGAAGCGTTGGATGAGTTGCAGGCATTTGACGCCAAACTTGATTTTAGTTGCCTTCGAGTACTGCTATTACTTGAGTCTAAATATCAATACAAGAGACCGATTCGTGTATTAATAATATTATGAATACAGTATTCATAGGAATGGCATCACAATTATTGTTGCCATCAATCGTTTGATTAAAGAAAAGAAAAATCAATTAATTTTAGTTTTAAGTTAAACGACTAGTAATTAATTAGATAAGCAAATCAGTGACAAATATGACTCCTATTTTATTTATCACTTCAACCTTTTCTCGAGTCACACATTCAATGCAAATGTTTTGTTTTGCAAGTGCTCTCGAAGTGTCAAAGTTTGTCTCAAATGTGTTTTTACTGTTTCAATGAAATATGAAATACAAACCAAAGTTAGCGCTCGTGAAGCCGTAAATCTCGTCGTCATCACAGTTGGCACTGATAGCAGAGCCACCGCTTGTAACCACTGATGTCGGTGACGATCCCTTACGCACCGGACTATTCTTGCTTTTAGCTATGCATTGCTGTTCAACAGCTGCACCAGTAGTTAATCCTTTAACAGACGCTGGCCTATAATTAGAGGCAAATGTGTGTTAAAATCAAGACAATTGCGCTTAAAATGAAAGACAGAGTCAGAGATTAATATTAAGAAACAGGCTGTCAGTCAGTCATAAGTAGGGAGAGAAAGGGCTCGCTTTCATAGTCCAGAAACTGATGAATAAAAATGCATAAAAAGCGTTGTGTTCAATGGTTTTGCACTACTTTCTCATTGTCCTACATCTGGCAAACAAATACTTGTGCCCATTGTATGCACTGAGAGCTCGAGCTAAACATACAATTTAAATGAATATTTTGGCCGAAATTATATCAAAAAAGTTTAGACCAAAATGATAAGCAAAGTAATATGTAATACAAAGTCATTTGCAGAGCCAGAGAATAACATCCCATTTGTGAAATAATAGCCGATATTAAGCCCTATCTTTTAATACATATAATATTGTTTATATAGATTTAATTGTATGCCATTAAGGACTCATATTGTAATACATAACAATTACTTACACAACAGAATTAATAGGCATTTGTATAGCGTTTTGACTCATATATGGAAAAATGTTTTTATCAAATAAAATAGCACTTAAAATGCAATACCATTGAGTAGAATGACTATAATTTCAAGTGAAAACTTTGTGTTTAGAGATAAGTGACAAAAAATCTCTTATCACTTAAAAAGACTTTCTTTATATTCAACGTCTCTTTTCAATAAAAATTGAATAGAAATCTAAATATTATTTTTTCGTATAAACCATTAATTTATGACACAATCTATGAGTTAAGCACCGGATAGTGTTTGTGAGACGTGAGGCCGACTACCAATTTGTTTAATATATTTCTGAGATATCTGTTAAAAGTGTGAATAAGTTATGAAATAATGGTTATGACAGCGATTGTGAGGAATGTAGTTATGAATGTATACATCAAATAAACACATATATTGTATGAATACATGTCTGTGCTGTAAGTGTTGGGCAATCAGTAGTACAGTATATGACTAATGAATAGATATCTGTTGAGACAAAACAACTCATAGCAACTCATTTGACGGCAAACACTAACGTATGATATAAGCAAACGCTGTCTACAATCGCATGAGCCGTACAACAGATCCAGTGACGGCACCTGCACTTTGCACTCAAACCCAAACCCAATACCTACCCAATCCCTACCCAATCCCTACCCAATCCATTGCCATCCCATTCACTCTTTTCGTGTCGGGACATAGCTTTTGTGGTTCAATGGATTAAATGATAACCAAAACACAACTTCTGATAACAACTAATTGATTGGCAAATAATCATACATTGAATGCATTGAATGCCATTCAAAATACATTAACTCCTATCGTATGAATGGGTGAACCATTGAATGCATAATCAAACAAATGACAAGTTTTTGCCATCAAAAGAGTTGAAGAGTAGGTCTTTGTTGGCAAACCGTACCTAATCTTATGCTTCTTGTTCTGAGCCTTTCCAAGAGATCGCCTAAAACTGGTCACCCGATCCAGTAGTGTATTGCTGGACGTGGTGTTGGCAGTGGTGTTGTGGTCCGGGTTGTTGTCGTCGTTGTCGGACCTGTTGTTCACTGCATTGCCACCATTGGTGGTGCCGTTGGTGTTGTTGTTGTTGGCGGTGATGGCGGTGGCAGAGGACGTGTTGGAGGACTTTGTGCTGAACTGAAACCACGATCTGATCCGCGACTCATTGGTGACACTCATGTTAACGGATTCATGGATTCAAATCATGATTCAAATGATGGCTAATGTTGTCATTACTGGCATTCATATGGCATATGATATTGTATTTCAATACTTATTATGATTACTATTATTACTGTTATTATGAAACAATAAATACATAGAAATTAGTGCTCAATACAATGACACTATTATTGTGGTAATTATTATAGTAAATACTGTCAACAATTAAAAGGCATTAATACATATGGAAATGATCTTGGTGGTGGTATTGTCAACACAAATCACAGTCGATGTGGTGTTTGGTGTGAAAAGTGAATCACATTTTTGTTGCTTTTGTTGAACATTTCGATGCAATCGTTGACTGTATTGTCAAACATAAGCATAAGTTTTGAGCAAAACTTTTAGCATAACTTATATGACATTCCTTTGGAGTCTCTTTTGCCACAAAATCCAAACGCTTTTCTCTCTCTCTCTCTCTCTCTCTCTCTTTCTCTCCTAACTCTGTCTCTCTGTTTGAAGGGAAACAAGATTTTCAAGTTTTCTGATATAATGGCAACCAATGCAACCAATGCTTACCAATGGCTATGCTATGCATGCGATGGTATGCTATGGTATCGTATGGGACGCCACTTAATGCAGAAATACAAGTCTTTATTCAATTCCTATTGCCTTTGCATTGCTTTTTCTATGACTTTGCATTCATTGCCTTTGTTTTGCATCTCATGTAATGCTAACTTAACTTATATTTCTCTCATTTGGTTCACTCTCTTATTACTTTACATTAGACTTGTTTTTCAACCAAACATATTAAATGTATTATTATTTTATAAAATTTTCTTCACTTTTCAAATTAAATCATAAAATAAATGCTTTCTTTATTTTGTTATATATTTTATTTTTCTTACTTTTATATAAAGTCCTACTTTTTTGTTCTCTCTCTCTCTCTCTCTCTCTCTCTCTCTCTCTTTAATTAATAAATTTATTACTTGTTATTAGATATAGAGTCCTAAAGTGTACTTCATCATTTTTTTATTGAAGCCATAGAAGAGTTCAATAAAATGAAATATTATTTGTTATCAGATTTCTTATGAAATAAATTATATAAAATCCTATTATCTTTGATATATATTTGGAATTCTTTCACAAAAATTATTTACAGATATATAGCAAAATAATGTGTTTTTATTGATTAAAGAAAAATTAATAGTATACGAAGTTTTGGCACAATTTCTATGTAGGGATCAGCAGATTGTCGTTAATTCGCATCTTAACTGATAAACAGATTACATAAGTTTTGGGATTAACTTAACATTAATTTCAATAAAGTGACCATCAATTGAAACACCACAAATATTTCAACACAAAAAGAAATTTAAAATTTAAACTTCGAGTGTTTATATCGAGGCAAACATTTTAATTATAGAGTATTTCTCGCAAACAATTCACTTAAAGGGTTTTTCGATGGTCTAGTTTTCGGTGTGTTTTTCCCCTAAAATATAAGTGAAGATTAATTTATAATTAAATTCAGCAAAAACTTAATGTGTTGCTGAAGATGGTTGTCTCGATAGGGAAGTCATTACAGATGCGCACACTTTACACAAGTATTATATGAATAGTATATTTGCTGCCAAAACCTATGGATGAGGTACGAGAACCCGATGCCGGTGCACATCCCAACCCCAACCCATTTGTTACAATCAATTTGTTATTCGTATCGACTGTTTATATATAACATCAGGATTTTTTATTATAAATTTCGTTCGCATTTAATAATAATTATTGTTTTTAGCAAATATTATATTAATAGTTATAACTGTTATATCGCCTGAAAATGTTTTTGGTAAGGGACGGGTAGTTTCAGGAATCTCATCGCAATTATCATTTGAAGGCATTATAAAAGTTTGATTTGTATCATATCTCGCATTTCATTTCCTAATGACAACATTTGTGTCATTTTTCAATAAATAATATCAATGTTTTGTAATTTAAAGCCGTATTCGCATTAAAATTTTGTGAATAAATAAATTTTTATTGCATTTTATGCAAAAATTTTCATATATTAGCACATCTTATATCTATAATTTATATATTATGTAACAAAATATTTATTATGTTTTGTTGTCGTTATGCAAACAGGCATTCAGTCTATCAGTTAGAATAGTTTCATAAAAAAATAGTTGCCTTTCCTTTACTACTGATAATATAATAAAATTAATTGATTGCTAACATTCAACAGCAATATTAATAAATAAGAAAATATATATAATATATAAGTTATTTCTTTCGCATTTCAATAGAAGGAAAGACTTGCAAAATATTAATGATCTTTAAAAATATTAACTTGAAACTTGAAAAACCAAAATTGAAATGTCATTTACATAATAATTCAAAATTTATCTATTTTTTCTAGACTTTCTCTCTCTCTCTCTCTCTCTCTCTCTCTCAACGTTCACTATATTCAGGTAAATCTTTGCATATTATAAAAATAAAACATTTGACCAAAAATGAAAAACTTTTGAGTTTTGACTTTTTCAGTGCCAAGTAATCAATCGTCTTATTTAATAAATTGGTTTTTCCTTTTCTTGACTTTGGATTTACTGAAAAAATGTGCGCGAATGCTGTCTGTCCTCAATTGTCAGTCGTTTTCATTACATTTGCTTATAGTTTGCAGAGATCTTGTGAGCCATGTATTCATTGATGGAATTGTGTATTTGAAATGACATTAGAATAGAGAGAGAATAGCATTAATCGGATTGAATGTGAAAATTTATTTTATACTATAATTGATGGAAAGTGTAGTAATAATCCCATTCCCCTAAAACCCGGTGCGCATCTCATTCCAGAAATGTTAGTATAACTGACCGCTCGTATGGTATAACAATAAGTCAATGACCTAATCATCGCATTCAAAGTAAGTTAGAAAAAAGGGAGAGAAATATTACACATTTGTATAACTGATTCAAAATTCATAAAATGTGGCTAATTGTAGGGAACAATAGCCACATTTGATACAATCATTATAATATATATTATATGTAATAATTAGATAATTGATCAGAGATATTAGGAAACTATACGAATCAAATACTGCAATCATTTGTTTGTATGTTATGTAAAGTTGTTGTTAGAAATGAAAAAAACTTTTGCTTTTATTAGACGCTAATCAAAAAGCCTTAAAGCCATGATTTGTTTGCGCATAAGTTGTTTGCAGCAAAAGGTTTGGTGTGTTTTGTGCCTGTTTTTCAGGTTAATCACTAAATAATTAAAATAATATTCAATATTATAAAACATGTATTGCCTTTAATAGCGAATATATAAAAGTTGAATATAATTTTTGTGATTTTCGTAATCATATTCTAATCTAAAGCATAATTAATTGAACGCGAGTTTCTATTTATGAATTTAATGTTAAAAGTTTTGCTAATTTTAAAAATACTCGAGAATTGTATTGTTTTGTGGAAATAGAAAAAAGTAACAAAAAACATACCCAATACTTGTATATAAATACGATTTCTTTTCTGATTAAACACCTGATATGTGTATTAAATATCTGACGTTAAATCATATCTATTGTGTACTAAAAATTTCTTTTCCTAATAGTATTTTTGTTTTGTTGAATTGCGGTTTTCATGAGTAGTGTCTAACATATCACCTAATTTTGGGCCCATTTTTATCTCTTCATAACAAAAACACTGAATTTTCATTTTCCTATATTTTTTATTTCTTTGCGATTATTTTTTATTTTCTCGATTTTCTATTATTTATATATATTTATATTATCTTTTTTCCTATCGTTTCGATTAACTTTTAAAATAACTATTTTTAACTCATAATAAAACAGTTTATAAAACAACAAAATTTCTTGAGCAAAATGTGCTGGAGTTTTTTGCACCAGCTTTTTTATTTTTGGACTTTCAATCGTATCATAACTTTGTTTAATGTCAATGCATTCAGTGGTGAGGGGTTTGTGTCATTTCTTACCTGTAGTTCCTCTCTCTGTACCGGTGTTGGGATGATTGCGCTCATCCATGAGATTCATGAGCTCTCTCTCTCTCTCTCTCTCTCTCTCTCTCTCACCACTAGTCTCTCTCTCTCTCTCTCACCACTAGTTCAATGCATTTCTTTGTATATCATAACTCTCTTAATTCAGTTGTAACGCTAATCAAAACATGCAATATATCTGTATATTTGTTAAAGTATTACCAATAATTCGTTAACATAATTAATACACAAAACTGAATATAATTACTAAATAATAAATTCTAAGTTATTATAATTTATTGTTTAATTTGTAATTATTATCTGATTTCGAGAATAAACACTAAGGAATCGATTAAATCAGCGCTAATTAGCTCTCAATAAAAAATTATGTTTTCTAGCCATTGATTTACATGATTTGGTGAATATATTATACAATTATTCAAATTACTGGTATTTTGTTGAATAAAATTTAACTAAATTGTGAGCACAAATCTTGTTGAAAATGGTTGAGGGGATGGCATAGTATGGTATGGTATGGCATAGTATTGGTGTCCTTAGTGGTAACCAGTTGTTTGGCGTCCTTCACAATGTCGACAATGTTTTCGATAAAAATATTTCTCTCTTCCACTGCAGTGGCGTTGAATCCATTCAACGAAAAGTCATGTTTTGCTACATATATTCAGATCATCTCTTGGCTAACGATTGGACTTTAAATACAGCAAACAAATCATCCCATCGTTTGTTTATATTCTTATCATTAGTGTTCCGATCATTAAGTTTTGAGATAATGTATACAAAGGGAAAGATTTGAGATTAAAGTGATGTCTACGCAACTGAAGACTCGTGAGTATCGCATATAAGAGATGAATGTATTTGGAGAGAGAATATAACAATAGCTATGCTATGCTATCGTAAAGTATTATGTATAATAGTAAAGGAACGGAGAAGTAGTTTTAGCCCACATTCACAAAAATTGTGAACAAAAAACATGTATAAGAAGTGAACACAAAAAGCAAAGAATATATGCAATACTCCTATAATTTCCTGTAGTTTAGGTGAAAATTGAAGCGAAAAACACATACAATAGGACTGATGCCCAACACATGGCATATGTCGAGCTCCAGAGCCTTGCACCACAAACTTTCTCTATAATACACTACACAACTAAGTTTATATCAAATAAAGTAGTTTTATATATAATATTATATAAATAAATGCATTACTGAATGAACAGAAAATATATTCATAACCTGTGCTCAACATTCGGGTCGCAATACTCTCACAATTATCTTAAACTTTTAACGACAAAAAATGTTCAATTTTCCGTTTCGTATACATTTCCCCAAATATTACAATGATTTTAATACAAAAATTAATTATATTTTTCACATTTCAATCATTTTATTGCATTATTTTATTTGAAATTCAATTTATTTTCTCCTCTCATTTACAGTATTAGAGTCTAATCGCGAATGAAAACTGCATTTAATTAATAATACATTTAACTGTAATAACAATTATGATAAAAATGAGAAATATAACAGTTAAAACAATTATTTGTTCGTTTTGAGTTTTATGGCTTAAAAACTGCTTTTTTATACATGTTTTTGGTATGATTTGGACAATAATTTGATTTCTAAATTCTAATAATTCATTACAATTTTCCCTTCGTTTTAATGGCATTCATTTGAATGCTTTTTAAATTAAGGAGAGAATTACTATTAAGAGGTAGAGCTGTGGCACACTTTCCAACAGATTATATGAAAAACTTATTAATTAAGTCCGTAATAAACAATTAATTATAAAAAGAAATTATAACTTATTTTGTGTTTTTTGTTTTATTTGTTTTTGATGTAAATTCTTATATACAATAGAATTGAATGGCGGCCGAGGACTGCATCTCTATTTGACTCATTTTTGTCTAAAATAAATGGAGAGAAAAATATATGTGAATTAATATTTCATTTTTTGTAAGCAATCGTTAGTAACAAACATCAAATGACAGATAAGTTGCGGCTTTTTCTAATTGTTGTCAAGATTTGATTTATTTGTAATTAACTGTTAATGGCTTTCAACAAGTGGTGTATCGCTTGATTAGACACAAATGTTTGTATGAAAGCACCGACACATACAGAATAAATGCTGTCTCTCAATTTGTCTTTGAATGTGGATAACATAGGAATATACAGTAAATTATTAATAGGAAATTGAGACAAATATTATTCAAGCCTTTCATCAATAATATAGAAAGCGTTTCATTTGTCAATATTTTCACTACAAAACTGGTATTTAATTAAATAAACTTTTCAATTAGCTCGACATTTTATTAAACAACTATTTCATTGAAGTTAATCATCGAAACATTAGAAAAGTTCTAAAAATAATTAGAAAACTTTTCATTAGTGGTCTATCATATAACATAATATAAGTTACTCCTATGGCATCTGTAAGTGTAGTGTGTTTTCATTAAAAGGACATCTTTCTCATTAAATCAAAGGCTTGAAATTCAATCTTAATTAAAGTCAAGGCTTTATATACTGTACGATACATAAAAGGAATTCACATTTAGCTTTCAATCATTAATTAGAGACCTCTTAAGATAATATCATCCTTTGCTTTAAATAATGACAGACTATTTGGAATTTTTTCTTACTTTATTTCAAATATAACTATTTTGCTGAACACTCATCTCATGATATGGACATTCAGTTTCAGTACTAACATCCATTCATTCAAATACCACACAACATGAGAGAGAGAGAGAGAGAGAGAGAGACAACGTGAGAGAGAGAGACAACATGAGAGAGAGAGAGAGAGAGATTTTGTGAACTTTTATAAAGTTGAGAATGTTTTATAAAATAAATCTTAAGTTAATTCAATGTTCAGAAAAAAATCTTGTATTTAATGAAAGAATAAAATATAAAGTATGGAAAAAATGAAAGAAAATTGTGATAAAAAATTATCTGAGGGAAAGAGTGACTCAATTGAAGCAAAATACAAATGAGTCAAAGAATTGGTTGTAATCTTATAGTTGTGTTGTGTGTAAATCACTACAAACTAATCGATATGAATCACTCGACCATTAGATTAAAAGTTTTCATAAGAAATGTGTTACGAGTAAAGGGATCTCTTGTAATAAGAGCGTCGGTCTGTCATTTGAGAAAAACTGATAAAATGTCTAAAAGCTTTTACACCACTTTTTCATACACATCCTACTACTCGCTCTACAAATATATTTGTTAACTCTTTATTAATATTAGCTTTTGATGAATGAATGCATGAAATATATGTTTTACAACTTTCAAAGGATCCAAACCTGCATTCTCTGCAACCATCTGATGAGAGTACTGGAAGTCATGGCCGCATCGTCTCTAGTCTGCGGCGGACAGCGCCAGTTGATGACCGACTGGAGCCTTACTTGAGTGTTGCCCGACAGTTGGCCTGACAGTTGTGATGAGGCAAACAGTTTATTAGTTTATGTATTAAACCCTCATATGATTTATTATCATTTTAACATTTGGTTTCTTATATTTGTAATATTTGAGTTAACATTATATTACGGTAATATCAAATTGAATTGAATGCCAACCTTTATAGCTATTGAATACAGGTGTCCAAAGTGGAAGCAACTAAGGAAATTAATAGGTTTTTCATTTAATATCTCTAAACAATATTCGCATATCTCTGATATAAATCAAAGGATTAATTGCTATCCATTTAATAATAAAAAGTATTAAATTTAATGGGTTTATGTCAAAAGAAATAAATAATAATAAGAAAATCGATATCAATCAATACATTAGATACTCGAAATGAGGTAAAAAATGTATTTGATATGTCTTAGTGTTTGGGAGAAGTGGTGCCAAATGTAAGTTATGGTGACTTATCTTACTCTTGAGAGCATCGTTGAGTTGCATTCCATCAGAGTTTCCATTAGATTCAAGAAATGTAAGCTAACCGTCTCCGCGAGCTATTCAGTTCACACAACAAGCCAGAGCCGCACCGGCAGTTCAGTGTGTGATAAGGGGAGAGCATGAGAGGGAAGGAGCCAAAGATTTATCATTAGTGAGATTTGATATACAAAAATATATTTACAATTATGATTATGATTGACAGTCTATGTTAAATGTTTTTTATATCGAATATACACTACTTATATGTATATACCATACAAACAGTACTATAGATATTAGAGTGCAATGGAAATGGTTGTAAGAGATATACATATAATGTATACATAAAAGACATTATCTAAGCTAACAGTTAGCAAAGTTAAATAAGTCAACGCTATTAGGAAAGCCGCTGACCTGATAGAATCCCTCCTGAAAGGAGTAATGCGTTAGTAGTAGAGTGTAAGCAAAGGAAATAAAAGGTATTATCATAAGTAAAAGCAAACATTTAAATTGTTTTTTAAATAAAAGATCTTTTTTGGTTATTATTATTTTTTCGAATTATTGTACTAATAATAAGTTATACCACTTTTGAGTGACAGATCAGTTGGAGTATGCCGGGGGTTATTTTGGCCCAGAAATCTGATAGTGTGAGAGTGCACTGGTGGTACTGATCGCTTCCTGGAGGGTTCTGACCAGAGATATTCTCGCAATACATTGTCCACAACTGGCACAGAATGAACGCGTGGAATAGGGACGACATGTGGAGTACCGATGCTTTGGACTGCTCGGCAAACCCGGCCAAAATCACCTGGATGTGCTCCGCTATGTGAGTGTTGGCCTCCAATGGGATGGGTTGGCACAGGAATGTGGCGTTATTATGGAGTAGTGCCGAGTGTTGCAACGACCCTAACAATAGCCACGAAAGTGACCGAATGTGTGCCACACAATCGATAAACTCTTTCGGACTATCAGTTCAATATAGAGATTAGTTTTTGTTTGACTTTTTCGGGTTTGTTTGAGAGGTTTATAACATTTCTATTCTCTATTCTCTTATTGTGTTTTTTGTGCAAAAAGAAGATTTTTAATGAAAAACTTAATGATTAGCAGAAAAAAGAGAAGTTTTAAGCACAAGAATTCATCACTTTATCGAAGTCACGCTTTTTTCACTTTTTTGCGCTCAAAATAAAACTTAATTTGTTTCCTAAAATACTTTTGTTGTGCATTTCATTGTGTTTTGTCGCCACTGTTTTTTAAATTAATATTTCAAATTCTATACTTAATTAAGAAAGCGAGAGAAATATACTTTTATAAAGACATGGCTTTTCGAGATTTGAATTTCTTTTTCTCTCTCTTGAAAACTCATTTTGAAGTTAAAATAAATATTTTACTAAACAACAAAAGTTGCTGAAAATAAATATAAGAATAGAAAATAATACTTAAAATTAAAGAATTATTTTCGTTTTAAATGACGAGAGAATAAGTGGTAATATAAGAGACAATTGAAGTGCAAACCCCTGTTGTAGTGATGGCAGACTGTAGAGCCAGGGAAGGTATTTGGTTATCGCCCGGTGATCACTGCCATTATTTTTTGTCATCTCTAGTGATAAATACTGAGAAATTCCTGCCTTCAGATGTCCGCCCAGTGTCTCTTCATTGAGGTGTATAGAAGTTCCCAAAAAATTACTCTTAAAAGTGAAACATAAAAAATCAGATTAAATATTCTCATCGGAAAAGTCAAAAGTCATTACAATAAATATAGAGTACAACAGCACTATCGTATAAATTGACTGACTGTTCATTTGATTATACGATTGCAGTGCTCAGCACAGGTAGGTCTGACTGTCTGAATGTGTGCCATATTTGCGAGACATACCTTGACTCGGGAGAGTGTGTGCACATCAGTGACAAACTCGAGGAGATCCATGACGTTGGGTCGCATGCATTCAAAGGCGTTTGTATTGAAGTTCTCGATCTCCAGAGTGTTATTCATGCGGAGGTTCTCGACGATGACGGATGGGGTGAGAGTGCCGGAGCCGTCCTGAAGGAGGAACTGGACTAACATCATGAGGTTCTCGTCGGGAATCATTGTCCGAAACTTAATCGCTTGGACGAGTTCGCAGACCACAGTGCGGGTCAACAGATACCTGTCCCGTTCGCGCACAAAGTTTCTGCAGCAGAGGTTACATAAGTCTAGGAGCTGTTCGTACAGCAGAGGTGACTGTTGTATGATATGAGAGAGCATTTTGGAAAAGGGGTCCAGGATGGTTTTGTATGTATTAATTATCGGCAATTTGACAGTCGATAACATAATTCGCATAATAGGTGTTAAGTTAAGTACTCCCGCGTCCGGCAATAAAAGCATTAATTTTCGCAAAAATGTTTCTAATTGTGGCAGAAATAGGCCCCACGGCTGTTGGGATGGCGTTTCCAGAGATATGCACTCCAGATATGTGGCCACATTACTCAACATATGCATCATTTCAGATATATGTGGCAAATGTTTTCTTTCGTTCAGATTCTAGAGTTTGATTACAATTATATCACAAAAAAAGGCATTAAAAGAATTTCCAGTTTTTTATAAAATTTTATTTCGCATAAAAAACTCTCGAAATATTTCTTTTGCTTTTTGAGGAATTTATAAATTATTGAAATAAAACGAAAAATATTTCTTAATACCGAATCAATGAATACACCATAAAAAGCATATTCTTATCGAGATTATAATTCATATAAATTAAAAGTATACCAATAATAGTAAAGTGTATATAAAAAGGCTTACCTGAAACAGCTCTACCAGAGGGGAGACCTGATTGAGATCAACGAAGTCAGACAACGCTAATGCTATGCTTTTAAAAAATCCTGGATCTGGTGATTGATTTTTGATTGATTCAAATACAATGAGAAACAAAATCAGAAATAAGTATGTTTTTTGTGCGCTCGCTATTCACTAGAAATTTCATGTGATTTATAATATTGACACTAAATATGTGCTGAATGTTAAGATAGAAAGACACGGTTAACTCACTGGTAAAATGTGCATAAAATAGTTGTTTGAATATCCCATTCGGTGCCAATTGATGTAAAGTGCAGCGAATGAATTGTCGGGCTATGGATGCAGTACTTCCGGGCAAATGAATATTACTGTGTTTTGGGAGTATCAAGAAAATCATATTTCTATAAATAAGTCTATAAAACAAAGGCATTCAATGATAAGAAAATTATATCTATATATTAGTGATAAAAATGCTACAAATGTTTGGAATTTTGTTATCTATGAAGAAATAAAAAATGCATTTTGCAATCAAAAGGCTTTTAACTATGATTTTCTAATAAATTAAAAAAGTTTTTAGTTCAGCAGTTATTTTATAAATTGATTTTTCTAAAGAAAATCTATTAAACATTTTTTGCTTTAACTTTAAGTATAGCATTGTTACTGAAAAGCATTTCATGTATTTATTCCACTTATCCCCTAATAAAAAGATTATTATATTTTATATATAATAATAAATTAATTTAATTTGAAATAAGCCGTAAAATGTGAAAAACGATCATTTGATTGAATGAACAAATAATACACTTCTTAAATAAATATATTTATGGAAAAAAGCTTTTTAAACCTTTCGCTCTGCCAGTGATATGCTGTGAGTCCCGCGTATTTTGAGACCAACTTAAGGACATCGGGAAGAATAGGTGCGGCAATACTGGGCTCCCGGTGCACGTATGTGCCTAATATTATGATACAAAAACCAATTTCCTCTTCGGAGAACTGTTCCAAAACATGTCCACAACGAGTGCACCGCTCGTGCACTATATCTTCCGGTGAGAAAACAGTACTTCCGGTCGATGGCTGTGCAGATGTGGTCCGTTTCGGTGGCATTGACCGAGCCGTCCGCCGCGAAACCTTATCGGCAACGCCTCCGCCCCTACTGTCTATAGAGCGCTGAATGTCACTCGCAGTGGACGTAGCCTTTCTAGTCTTTCTCTGGCGATAGTGCGGTCGCACCGGCTTTTGCTCGTCTTGTGTTTGATTTTGTGATTGAGTTTGTGTTGGATTTTCTGAGTTTGATTTCAGAGCGAACTCTTCCGTTCTCTCATTTCCGGCATTGAGTCCAATAGTGGAACGCATTTCTATAACAACTTTCTCCAGAGTTTCCTCTTTTGATTCATTGATGTTTCCTTTTATGTCGATCTTATTATTTGTATTGACAATAGCATTGGAGACGGATTCACATTTAGCACCATTTAGTGTCGTTTCTGGCGCCTCTCCTACTTTGATAACTTTGGCCAAACCCACCATAATTGGAGAGTTTGGAAGCTTTACTTTGACCTCTGGATCTGGACTATCAAAGGAGTCGCGCAGAGATAATGGATGTTTGGTGGTGTTAGAGGTGGTGATCAAAGTTGTAGTCGCAGTCATTGCATATGTTGTTGCACTGGAAGCAAGTGAAACACTAGTATTGCTGGCAATTGTCACCAATTGAGTCACTGATGGCTCCACTTTGGGAGGAATGGGATCCTCTTTGACATAGATAGGCGTCTGAAGAATTCCAGATCTTTTTGGTTGCATTTGTGGCACAGGAGACACCGTTTCCTTTCTGGTGAAAGGAGGCGTCGGTCCGATCGGCAAAAGTCGTTCACAAACCGGATAATGCATTTCGCCTTCATTTGTGACCAAAGTTTTAAATGTTTGGACGCCTTTTGTGTCGTAATCTCCGGAATAAGATCTATCAAAATGACTTAAATCGTCGCGATATGTCATGTCTTTATTGGTTCGCAACTCTTTAGTTGTCATTCCGATAGGAAGTAGTCTTTCCTGAGGAGGTCTGACTGGCAAAATAGGCTCCAGTTTGACCGGAGAGTGTATTTCTATAGTCCAGGTCGACTTGGATACCTTGGTATCTGCACTGTCACTGCTATTGACATTTCGCAACACTTTATGACCGCTTTCGTGACCCGTAAACCTTTCGTCAACGCTTCCAATCCGTGTCAATGAGTTATGGGTCGGGATGTCCACTACTTTTCCTATGCCTTGCTTTTCATTGACAACTTTTTTATTTTTCTTTAATTTGAGCGAACCTTCGATCGCATCCGTTCTCTGCATTTTAGGTCTGTTTGGCGACAATTGCCGACTCATTCGCTGCACCGGCGGATGATATGGAGGTTTCTGTGAATTCGTTACCATATCTTTAGTATCAATTAGTTTTTCGTCAATAACTTCTTCTTTTTCCTTCTCATTTTCTGTCGTATTGTTTGACAAAATAAGCTCTGATTTATTGGAAAGCATTTCACTTGTCTTAAGCTCTGATTTCTCTTGTATTATACTTTGTGTTGAATTCTCTATTTTTGGCTCATTTTCGTCTTTAACTAATTCATTGTCTTTATTTTCATCCATTAAATCATCGGATTTCTCAATTCCTTTCGATTTGGGACTTTCACTGATCGGTTCCGTCTCCTTATCCTCATCGTCGGCATCACTCGAGAAAGCGCTGACCGTCTCATTCTGACCGACTTTCGGTGAAAATATAATCTCGTTATCTTCGGTTTGAGAGTCAATACTTTGGTCCTGTTCCTGGATTTGCTCTAAATCTACAGACGCTGTACTCAAATCTAAATGAAAATATTATTTATTAAAATGCTTTCTCAGACCAAATGAAGAGAATGGCAAACCTCGTGAACGGGAAGGTATAGGACTTTGCATGTGTTCGTTGAGTGGACGACATCTATGAAATTGAGCCGCGAGTGTATTCAATACAATCTGAATCAACATTTGGATCTGTTTTAGTGTTGACTGAGAATTGTATGAATGCTATCAAAGAGAATTAGAAATATGTTTAAATTGTTATACAGTATAAAACAAAGAGTTAATACAAATACTTTGTATAAAATAATGTTGAGAGACGTGAGCCAAGACTGCCGCACATGAGGTTTGAGAAGCCATAACGAATAGACGGGTAAATGGTTTCCGTCGTGAATATATCGTTGAGGCGATGGACAGTATACAAGCAGAGGAAGACAAGTGCTGAGCAAAATGTTTCCCATTTTGAAGTTAAAGTCTAACACTTTTGGCATCGAAGTGATGAATGCATTGAAAACGGGAAGTCCTCGTAAACTATTAGGAGATATAAGGAATGCCTTCTCTGCAGGGCTATAACCCATCAGAATATTCAGATGACGTAAAACAATGAGCTGTTGGACAGTTAGGCAACAAATGGTTAGATCATAACAAATGATATAAGCGAGAGATATCTTACGTGACTGCGAGTCATAGACTTCTCGTCCTGAGGATGGGAAGGGTCGGGTCGGGACAGGAATTGCATCAACAAAAATATCAACAGATGAATGGTGTCTTTGTCGTGGTCTTCCATCTCAGTCTTATGAATGACACTCAAGAGATGACTCTCTTCTTGTGCCACTTCTTTGAGTTGGTTGTCGTGAAAGAAACTGTTGGGAAAGTGAGTGATTGTGGAACCGGTGAGCGCCGCCAGTTTGGAGCTCTTGCGACTGATGGCCGGGGTTGATGTCTGGCGCCCATAGAACTTATCTTTTTTGTCAAACTTTGGGATTAAGCCGAACGTCGGCGCAGACATTGTCCTCTTGTAAGGCTGTTTAAGGCCTAAGTTGGCCGATAAGGAACGGGATGCGTGAGTGTGCGACAGAGCCTCTTGAGCTCTGATAAGTTTCTTCTGGTAGGTCTCGGAGTTGACGTTTGTATTCCTGAGATCACGGGTTTGGGTGATGTCTCCGCTTCGCTCTAAAATGACCTGCGATTCGAGGAATAGGGCGTCGAATCGGTTGAGGAAGAAATCCCAAGAGAGGAAACGTCTGTCACTTAAATGGTTGTAGAGTTGGAATATTGTCGTCAAAATCATAGGCCTGTCCTGAATAACCAAATCAAACTGCACTTCCAAACACCACAACAACAGTTTCAGTGACGATGTCTTAATCATTTCGAGATTAAGAAGAGCTCGTTGTGCGACATTGGCTTCGATGTCATCCAAACAGTGGACTAAATAGCAGAAAGCGGTGGCCAAAGAGGCCTGAAGTAGAGGACTGTTCTTAACAGTTGCCGGCTCTACAAAGTGTGCGATAGTTGTGACCCGTTCTACGGCCGCGAATCTGGCCCTCCAGTCGTTGTTATGGAAGTCCTCTTCAACTACTTTGGAGAACATTGTGGTTCCCGACGGAAGTGTAATGCAATGGAGTATAAGTGGAACACAAAGCTGTGAGATCTGCGAGAATTCTGACTGCAAGAGCTTCCAGAGGTTCGGTATGAGTAGGTTCTCCTGACACCAGATCACAAACCCTCTGTTGTTCTTCGCGGCCCTATTGAGCACTTCTGAGTGCAAACTCATGAGTTTCACACAATATAACAAATGGTACAAAACGTCGGCGTCGTTGTGAACATTGACTTCCTTAAGAAAGTTATAAACCAACTGTTCCTGTGGTGGCAGCTCTTCGATCGTGAACTTAAACTTTCCATACGATGTCTCCCAAAAGTTTTCGTCTAACTTCTTATCAAACACAGAGTCGTTGTCGTCGTCCAAGAGTTGAGGTGTCGTCGAAACCGTGCATTTGGCTGACGCCACGTCATCCTCGGTAATGGTCACAGAGCGGGCCACTCCTGTCTCGATCGACTCCATCGGCACTACGGGACTAAAGTTCAGATCGTCTTCGATGTCCAAAATAGTGGCAGCTTTTAGTATAGTGTCATTGGGTTCGCCGGGAGTGGGCTTTACGTCTTGTGACGGAACTACTGAATTGTTTGCATTCTTTGTATCCGTTGTTTGTAATGGTTTTGGTGTCTCTTTGGTGGAACTCACAGAATCTGATTTCGACACCTTTTCATGCGATGGAATGTTTGGTTTGACTGAATTATCTCCGGGAATGTCAGCCATCGTTACCTCCATTACAGGACAAAAGTATTCGATGATAACAAGAGTCAATTGATACCAAATGGCACTCATTTCACAGTAAAGGCATTGCGAGATTTCCTCCTCATTTACTTCATCGGGTTTGGTGCTGAGCTGACAGGTGTGCACCCCAACCCACGGGGCGTGTAGTATATCCAGGACCAGTTTCAATACCTGCACCGCTTCTTTAGTCTCCAGACCTTTGTGTGAATTGACTTCTTGTAACTCAAACTGTTTGACCAAAATGTCAAGCATTAAGATATATGAGGAGAGATTGATGTCCTGTTCGCTGGCAGTCGTCTCATTAATGTGCGATCGAGTACTTGATTTAGAGATAGCACTGGATGTCGGGTCTGAAGAGATCTTGCTGACCGAACATATCTTTTCGATGTTTGGATCAGACAATGACTTGACTCCAGTGGAGAACATTGTGTTCAATAGATTCAAAGGCACCGGCACTTCCAACATAGTCAGTATCTGTGCATTCAATTGATGTCAGTTTTCAAACATATTTCAGATTAAATGAATGGTTACCTGAAGCCAACTGAGCGCCTGTTCCTGTACGGGCGCCGTTGTGTTCTCGAAACGAATGCTAATGAAGTGATACATTTGTTTTGGTTGCAAACCAAGGGGTGATAGATCTGGATCTAGTACTTTGCTCAATAAGATCTTCAGTTCGGACAGTTCCTCTTCAGGAACGTCGTGTCTGAAGCACTCCATCCAAAATGGCATTATATGCCCCCAAACATCAGCCGTTATTATATCGTAAGGCACGAGACAAAGCAATCTTTTGAAACCTTCCTTAATTTGATTGGTCTGTGAGGGCCACGACTCCCAATGACCGCCTGACCAGAAAAATATGAGATAGAAGTTAACAAAAATAAGACATAAGAGAGTAAAGGGAAAGCCGTACCAAGTCTTGCGTAATCCAAGGGATGGGGCAGAAGGCAAGACGTGAAGATATTGAAGTGAGTTTTGATAATTTTCATGAGCCATCCGTGAATGCACTCTCCCTTCAGCCTCTCGAGAGCACTGCTGGCCTGATCGTCGGGCAAACAGGCCGTGTAGTGAAACCATTGGCATAACATACTCAACAGCCGTCCCAAAGTGGCTCCGGGCGTACTATCGTTGGGAGCGCCCAAACCCACCAAAAGCCATACACCATATCGGCTGAGCAGTTGCCGCTCCTCTATCGTTGTCTCCTGATTATCTTCCGACACCTGAAACCCAATTCTGGAATGTCTTTCGCTGTCTTTGGAGGGTTTGTCCGGTTGCGCCTCTTTCAACAAACTCACGATTGCTTCGACCAAATAGGTCTGAGTTTCGCTGTCCATATCCCACGGGGACGGTATGATTGTGTGCACGATATGATTGGACGCCTCTTTAGTCGAGTGTTTCTCTTCATTACATTGCAAGCAATATCTGATCGGTTTATTGCAGTTATAGTTCGTGCACTCAATGGCGAAACAAGTGGCCACAGCTATCTTCTGGGACAGGGGTGTCCGACACGTCTTGTTCTCGCAGTTGTATGAGATCTCCTCCATTGGCAATAATATATTCAGTAAAGTGTCTCGACTTTTGCCTCGATATATCTGATCCGTGCATTCGATGCAAATGAGTAGTGGTGTCGGCCTTTCGGCTGATCCTATGACAACCGTGTGATCGATGCACATCTTCACCGCTTCGTTGCTCACATTGTTCTGGCATTTCTCGTACTGACACGTCAGTGGTGTCCAACTGACGTGCTTTTCAGATAACGCCTTCCGATCCAACGCACTCGGGTTCAGGTGTGGCCAATACAGGAACAGTAGCTCCACTGCCGCGCACCTGGCTTTCGCCGTTCCGTAGGCTATAACACAGAGCAGATCTTTGGACACATTGTACTTCAATCTCATTAAGCACTCCAACAACTGTGTGTGAAAGGAAGGGTTGTCCGCATAATTTAATACAATCATAATAATGGAAGGGATCGACATATTGGCATAATTGAGGTTTTCTGAATCGGAAGTTTCATCTGAAATACAATTAAATTGAGTAAAATATTTTGAAAATTGCTAAATTGTGTACCAATAGTAAATGGAAGCAAATTATAGCAAAGCATATCCAGAAGCTCTTTGTGTAAAATAGGCGGAAGCACTGCCATCGCGGACGCCACTATATATGGCAAAGAATCCATGTATTCGTGTTCAAGGAATGGCACTAAACAGCTCATTGTGTGCAGAATTGTTTGGCCCACCACTGGATCATAAGTTCAATTTTAGTAAACCATATAAGAGTATACAGAATAATTGAAACAATAATTTATAGCATACATTGCATTCCGGTCTGAATTTGTGGCAAAATCTCGAGGAACTGGACGATCACGGCATACAGATTCTTATAGTCTAGATTCGGGAAAAGTGAGGTTCGGTTGTGGTCTCTATCGTGACTACGAATCAGCTCTATTGGAATCGCCGGCACATCCCGGAGCACACTATCCAATGAATTGGCAATAAATTGCAATTAATATTCAGTAGATATTATGGAAATTATTTGCGAGACTCACCCCAAGAGTAATTGCGAGAAATACTTAAGAGTGTTGCAAATGTCAGTCCCGGATGGAAGTGGGAACACATTGTTGACGATTCTTGTGTGGAATTCCTGTAGATTCCGGATTTTGGCCGTAACTATGATTAGAGGATGAAAAGGAGAAGTCATAAAAAATATTCATTAAATCAAATGGTGTTGTTATAAATAGCGATGCGTTGGTGTCTTACAGGCCGCGGCTCGTGTGCCCATAATATCCGATATTTATTTACATTTGGTATAAAAAATGCTTAAAATTAGAATAAAATTTAAGAAATGGGTCGACGGTTAGGATGTATTTACTTGTTTACGACATCTTTAATAACGTGCAAAACACAGAATTCAACTGATTTTTGTGATACAAGAATATCACGAATACTGAGTCGACATTACTGTGGGTTTGTATGAAGACTAGACGCTCTCTGGAAGCATAGATCACTACATGATTATCGATCGATTCGCATATATTTCACACCAAATGTTATTCATTTCGTACAGAATCTCCATTCAATTCAAATGAATTGATTGAAATAAAAACAAATTTCGCATTTAATTTAAATTCTAAAAATATGTTTATTTATTCTCGAAATGTTATTAATAGAAACAAAAAGTTAAGATAAATATTTACACAATCATTGAATGAATTTAATCGTTACACTAAAATCAACACAAAAACAGTAATTCAATCCATTCGTGAAGGGGATTGCAAACGATTCACGTCTCGAGTCGCGTATAATCGGATCCGATGTGTCGGTGCCTCTCGCGGGCCATACTTACGATCATATTCTCCCTCTCGTGGTATACGAAGAGCTTACGGGAGGCCAACACTAGTGTCAGTACCCAACACACCAGTAGAGACCAGATGCCAAACTATTGACGAGTTTATTGCATGTGTTATCAGTTCATCCAATACAACATCAATTCATTTGGTTATCATTCAAACAAATGAATAGTAATGAGGAAAGGGGTGGAAAGGGATGTCCAATACCTGAACTGATCCGAGTTCCAGAAAAAAGCCTTTGGGGTCAATGTCTGAGTCCTTCCCAATCACCATAACAGAGGACGCCGTCTCACAACTGATCCCACAATCAATTTGTTATTACATTTGTCTCACAATTAATGAGCGATTAATGACTGAACGGAAAACTACTTACGAGTCAAACCTTTGGGCCACTGATTGACACCAAACGGAGAAGCCTTTCGTCACAAGTATGGCGTCTGTGAGGACCAGAAGGGTTGCCATCAGTGCTAACACTGTGTCCACAAATGCAGACAAAAATGTACTGAAAATGCAATTAATCTCACATTAGATGACATTCATTATGACATCATTTGCACACATCTTATACACAATTAGACACAACATTATAGTTAAGACACGACAAGACATGGAAGCGATTGAGTGACACACCTATCGGTTCCTCTGTAGAGAAGTATGAATTTACGACACATTTGTATGAAAGCCGTCCCGAAGAGGATGATGGCTGTGGTGAGGGTGAAGACGCAGTGGAAGACTGAGGACCAGTTGGGGTCAAAGGATCCGTCCTCCTCGACATACTGTCCCGTACTATAGAGGGAACAGTGGCCACAGAAACTGTATAAATGAAGACTCATTGGTATCCACACGCAGAGGGAGACGATGGCCGACACCGTATAGACCGCCGATTGAGACAATAGCACCACATTTGTGATCGACATCATCGACATCATTGACAGTGAGCTGTCCACACCACCAACGGATCAGTTGACTGTGATAACCACCACAGCGAGTGTTTGGTGTCAATGAGTGCTCACTTATGGACCCAATTGAGTGACAATTGAGTGACAATTGAGTGACAAGTGGTGTACTGAGTGTCACAACAAGTGAGGCATTAATGCATTAATTGTTGTCTTATTTGTCAACAAATGCTTTCAAATCACAACAAATTGAACGCAAAATTATGTCATTTATAGCGCTATTCAGTCATAACGTACTCATTTGTGGCACTTATTTGTCCCCTGAATTCATATCAATACTCATTTGCTTAGACTAATAATTGATTACATATAAAAAAAAGTCGAAAAATACTTGATCAGGGGTGATTTATAATAATATGTTAATATTGTTATATTTTTATTGATAACAAGTGTAGTTTTAATTAATGTAATAAAACTTTTATAGCAAATGTTTTATACAATGAGTGATGATTTACAACAACAGATGGCCGAAGAATATATGAATTCCTATAGAAATAAAATGTATAAAAATGTTTGAAATTCTTGTAACTTATTAGAGTATATGTTAGAAAACGTGAATAAATTATTGATGAAACAGTTTTATACGCTTCTCTACAATGATATGACATATAATGAAATATCATATGTAATACTATATTAGAGAGGAATTCTTGAAATGCATTGAATTATAATATGAAGTATAGAATTATGTGAAAATAAAGTGCAAAAATGCATTAAATGTGTAACTTTTGCTCGAATTATAGACATTATAACACAGTATAACACAGTATATCATGGACTCCGGTGTCACGACTAGGAGTTGTTAAGGAAGTCTATAAAATACATGCAATTATTAATATAGAAACTGATTTGTATATCACTTTGAAAGGGGAACAGTGTTTAGATTGAAGTGATAACTAATTTTTTGTATAAATTCTTTGTCCGCAAAAAGCCGGTGAACAGAGAAACAAAGAATTGAGTGAATTGTGAGACGACAACCAAAAAAGTATTGTAATATCAAAGTAAATGGAGATAAAAGCGTTCGTAAAAGGGTTTGAGTTTAATTGATATATAGAGAGAAAGGAAACCATAATTTAATTATGATATGAAGTGATAAATTGGATGAACAAAGAAAGTCAACGAATAAACTGAACAAAGATATGATAGGAGTGACAAAAAATGCGATCAAAAAAACTATAACAAACTCTATGTCAGCGAACAGTATTGTGTCTGCGAGAAAGAGAGAGAGAGAGAGAGAGAGAGAGTCTGGAAGAGAGTATTAAAGAGAGAGAATATCTTATGAAAAGAGATCAATGAATGGCAGGCAATGGTAGGTCTGGAGAGACACAGGGGTTATAACTTCTAATATCATTAAAGTCTAACGAATGTATTACTCTTTTTGTTTGTCACAAACTTTTTTCTAAACATTTATCGTGTTTTGTTTCTTAAAATTATTGTCTACAGCAATGGTATTGTATTTTAAATAAACGTTAGTTAAGGTCTGTGTAACAAAAAAAAGTATTATTTGATGAGAGCTATTAAAATGTAAACAAAAATCATTTGAAATAATGATTTAATAAGAGATAAAACAAATATAAAGCGCACGAAACCTAATAAAGATATAATTTATGGACTGAAAAAGTAATTACAATTATTTTAATTTTTATACAAAAATACTCTATGAATAAATATAATAATATTATTTAGTAAATTATTTTTAGTTTGTTTTAATATGAACTTCACTTTTATTTGATTATCTCAACCGTAAATAAAAATATTTATATTAAATTTTTAAAATAGATATTTACTTTAATTTTAAAATAATAAGTAATTCTAAATTAGCATTATTAATACTGATAAAAATTGAATTTAATTACAATAAACAATAGAATTTATGTTGAACTTATTAGAATTTATAGTGTAATTAGAATTAAAGACCTAGATATCTTTAAATTATTATAGTCATAATAATACTAATGTTAATACTAATTAATGTTAATATTGAAAATATATTAAAATTGTAGTGATTTCTAGTTTAAGTGGCAAATCTAGTCATTGTATCTGATTTTGTAAAGATTCTCAATTATGTTCAGAGTTTAATCTAATAGTAAGATAAACTCATACTGGTAATTTGAATTTGTATTATTATTATAATATTTGAACTCCTGGTTGAATTGTCTCCTAAATAACAATAAAACCTATTATATTGTCACACATTTGATATAAATACATTTTAAAACATATATTTTCAAAAAAAAGTTTATTCAGATATACTCGAAGAATGCATTACATACCAGTATACAGTATCTAGTACTGGTATGTTTAGTATGTATTTTGCAATTTCCATAGCCATCAATGCATAGAGTATTTCATAACTTATTGTATTATATTTATATATTATCTCTCAATGATTGCCAACTAAACGAATAAAACGGAACAGTAGTATATATTTATGTCAAAAGTGAATTATCTTCCAAACAAGAAAACCATTAATATTAACACATATTATACAGAATATATAGAAGCATTATATATATATACAGGAAATTACATATTGAGTCAAAGAGTATCACTCATGAAATAAAAGGCATTCCTATGAATATATTTCCGATTATATCAAACTTTTAATAAGATTTCATAAACTCGTTAATTAAATTTTTCTCTATATAATTCATTAAAATAATGAACAAAATTATTATTCATAAACATTGGAGACATTTGTAAGATATTCAGTCCTTGAAGTAATGTCTGATTGACACAAAGATATTAGAAGAATGGAAAGGCTATGTTTGGCACACCTTTACATCGAAATGCCTTAACATATGTGTGCGAAATATCAATTTTATTGAGTGGTCCATAAAGTGCTATAACATTAACAAAGACTGGGAATTATCTCTTTAATTGTTTTGAACATAAATAGACTCTCATATTAATGACTGGACGTCCACTCCGTTATTGATTGCTAATAAAGCCGTCTATTAATTTGATACTTCTATTATTAATTGTTTAATAATGAAAAAAGGTATTATTTATTTAGGCAACCCTTTTTGCATTATGGTTCATAAAATATAATCATAAACTATACTATATTTGGAAGTCAAATAAATGTTGTATTCAATCAATAAATGTTAAAAATAATAACAAAGTGTAGTATTTGTTATCACGTGTGTTGTATGTAATTGTTTATAAATAATTCATTTATCAAAATTCATTTACAAGAGACGAGACAAAAAAGAAGAAAGTGAGTGAGTGAAAGAGAGAGAGAGAGAGAGAGATTATACTGAAAATTCATTTGAAATCAACAAAACAAGAGTACAAAGGAATGCTTAACTCATTATTTAAATTAAATTCATTCACAGAAATCAATTAGAGTTGAAGCAAAGGTTACAAAATAGCATTCAAAGTATTATTCTTCACATTCTCTGCGAAAAAGTGTTATATTTCGGGATTTGCAGATAATTAAAATAAATAATTTTTGTTTATTTAATGCGACACAAGAATATTCTGTGATATTTTCAATTTTGCTGCAAAAAATTCATTTAAAAGAGCATAAGCTCTGTATTAAAATACAATAAAAACAGAAAATCTCTGGGCTTAGAGATGAAGAATAGCATAGCATTTGATGAACGCAGAGAGAGAGAGAGAGAGAGAGAGAGAGAGAGAGACGAGAGGTGATTGAGATTTAACTGAGATTTGTTTCATTAGATTATTCAAAACGAATTCTGATTACAATTCTGGGGAACAAAACAAAATGGTATTAACCGTAAAGCAAAACAAAATAATCTCATGATTTAAAAGGAATTTACATAAAAACTTGTTACTTATATAAGGTATTGATTTTTGAGAAAAAAGCATTACTTTGAAAGTAAAAGCATCACTAAAACTATAGTCTTGTAGTCTTGTGTATATATTTAAATATGAACCTGGATTGCTGTGTAATTTTCTTTATTTAAGTAAAACATGCATTTTATCTAAATGTTTGCATGTTGTGTGCCATCAATATTAAAGTCTGACATTAATTACAATCACTACAATAAGTATTACTATTATTATCTAAGTGTTAATATAATAAAATAAATGTCATTTCTAATGCTTTTTAAAATGTTTGCATTTTATAACCAAAACTAACGCAATCATTTTTATTGATATTACAAATCTAATGAATTATAAATGATTTTTAATATAATTATTTTTGCAACATAAAAGTTATTTACAGTGCAAATTATGCTAAATATAATGGATTTGATAACATAATCTCATTTAGTAAAAAGTGATAAATGATTACATTAGTTATCAGAATTGGCATAACTTTATGCAAATAAAAAACTCGATGATTTTATCGGGAAATTAAATTTCAGAGTTTATTAGAGTTCATAAGAAATATTTGAAATTTTTTCCCTGAAAACTTTATTCCAACGCAAACATTGTGTGTAAACATAGAAACGAGTGTTTGAATGGTCTGTATGTTTGACTTACCCTTTCATAGACGACAGACACGATTGGGTTATCGATTGGGTTAGTAGTGGTGATGAATATCTTCCTGTGCTGTACAGCGGAGACAAAGTGAGTCTCGATCTCAATAATCAACTTCTGCTGTCCTCCTCTTCCCAATGGCATCGGAGCACTCGGATGCGGGTTTCGCCGGGTTTTGTGATGCAAAATAATCATTTAATGGCCGTTCCCTCCAAATCCTTCGCTGCTTCTTCAGCGTTCAACTCCTGGTATTACTTGTATTACTTGTATGACTAGTATTACTGGTATTTCTCTCTATATTCTGTACATTCTGTATATTCTGGTGTTTGGAGAAAAAGTTAGGCAGCGATTCATTGCCTCCAACTCTCTAACTCTCATTGCATTTCCCGTTTCCATAGAAACCATTGATCGGAATAAAGATGACTGACAGCCAACACATTCATGTGATTCTCCCTCTCCTCAAGAATAAGACAAAAAACTTTCACATGTTTTATATGTTTTATACTTTTCACTCCACACTCTCCGCTATAACTGACTATTATTGTAATGTCAGTCTTTAGTCAAACTCCTAACCAACAGCTTGTCTACACCGACTACCAGTGCTACTACTCTTCACTCTGTCCTACACTACCAGTGCTAACAACAACTGTTCTTAACAAACAGTTTGCACTTCGGCTACAATTGACTAACAATTCTTACACTTTTAAGTATATATTGCTATCACATCACTATCTCAAGCTCTCTCTCTCTCTCTCTCTCAACACTGTTAACACTTTTATTGGAGGCCTTTATATACATTTAGTTTCGTAACAAATTCTGGTTCTGTTTTCTCTATTGCTTTTCAAAAGATTGAGTTAAAACAGAATTTGATGACAATATTCGGACAACTTTTT